CGTGCGGGCAATTACTAATGAGATAAATTTTATCTGGAACTTCACCTCCGCCCACGCCTCCCCAGCCCTTGGACACTATCGCTCGGACGCCTACTAGCTTCACAGCCTCGAAGAGGAGCTTAGTGAGACCTACTAGATTATCTACGACTATACTGCCAAAACCAATGTACACTAGCGGCGGACCTCTTGCGAGAAATTCGGCTAAGTCATTAGGTGGCGTGTAGTTGGAGCCAGCGTCTAGGAAAGAGAAGCTGGTAATGTTGATATGATCGCCCTAATTAGGCGGCCGCAGTATTAAAGCCTAAGACTAGAGGTAGCTGTACGGAACACGAAGCCTTAGAAGTAACTAATGACCTTACAGCGGACTTATCGCGTCTAGGCCTAGAGTCTGTGTTCTAAACTTGTTAATGATATCTTTAAGACCTTGCTACGTTAGTAGCTCTATGATACCGAAACTAAAGTAGTTCGCGACGGACTTCTTAACTTCCCCGTACTCTATAGCCGCGAGAGGGTAATAGAACGCTTTTGTTAGCAACTATAGCATCGTGAAGACTATGTGCAGCGGTATGCTAAGCTTCTCCGCGCAGTAGATGTAACCTATTAAAGGAGGGTTCGCGATAATAGCGTCGGCGATGAACAGGTCTTCTAGCGCGTCTACGTTCAATGCGGATATTTTTCCGCCTATGCTATCGCCGGCCTCAATGCAGCTTCTCTACGTTCTCTCTATTATCTTAGCTATCTCTTTCCGTCGCTTGCTAATGTTACTAGCTTTGATCGATTGCATGTTAGGGAGTAGGCTAGGGTTCTTCACTATATACGCTATTAATGCTTCTAGGTCGCTGCTAATTGAAAAGAATTTAACGCTATTGCTTTCTACGAAGTCTTTAAAGGCTAGATGCGTGCAGATGCGCACTCAATAGTAATGCGGAGCGTCCTAGAGTAGCTTCGCAATTGGTATAAAGGGCTGCACGTCGCCCTAAGACCTACAGATGTGTATAGCGATGTTCAATCGCGGTGCGCTAATGTTACTTGTCCTCTCTTTAACGAACTTATCTACTAGGGTCGTACTGCCTCTTCGCGGTTTTGTATACCGCGCAGGTCGGCATGCTACAGCATTATTTTGTACATTGTCGAACTAGTATTTTAGGTGAGTCGAGTTCTTCTAAATTTGATAGCGACCTAGCCGAAGGTGTTAACTTGTCTGGTACTTTGCGCTTTTTCGTTATGGTATTCGCCGCGTTTCTGCTTGCTGCTAAAGTTGCGAGGCATTGCGATACTAACTGCGAGTGCTAACTACATTGCGCCCTTGTTGAGATATAGGAACACAAGATTATAACTTGGATAACATAATGTAAGATTGTGCGTATTTGCTGCGTATGCACTCGGACCTTTTGAAATGAACAATAGCGCCAAATCTCACCTCTTACTTTTTGGGTCCTAGATCTGCAGTTCGCGGAGCTTCCTGGGCGTGCTGCGCTAGTCACAGCACGCTGTCTCGCCTTAGTTAGCGATTAACCGCCCCTAGCAAACTATCGCTCGTACTATCGTACAAGTAATCAGCTTTGGCCGGATCTTCTTAACAGCCTAGACCTCAACGCTAGCGCATCGCATTATTGCGCAGATGATTTTGCGCATTAGCACGCCTATCACGCTCGTCGGAGATCCGAATACAAAGGCTTGAGGACCTCTGGCTTCGCACACGCGGGCTTGAACGAGGTGATTAGTAACGCATGCATGATAAGCATTTTGTCCACTGTTCCCTCGACTTAGACATAAGAATCTGTACTGCTGCGACAACAATTGCGCACACACATCTAGCTATGACCGACAACTAAGAGAAGGGCATTATTAGGCGGGCGCGCGGGATGTCGTTGTCGTTGTTGCTGCACACGACGCTGTAGCTGGGCATGTGGCAGGCTACAGCGACGGCAATGGCTTAAGCGCCAAACCTAACCGAGTTGCGAGAACTGGAATCTGGAGGCGCAAACATCAAGTTCGATGCGCATGGCCACGCGACTCGTGTTGCGATACCAGATGAGGATGGCGAGCTCACGTTGGTCAAGTCGCAGACGAGAATCCTCGACCGTCCAGCAACAGACGCTGTTCTACCAGCGGAGGTAGACGACAAGGCCGGAAAGCAGTCGCGCAGGCACCACGGCCATGGTATTCACCGCCGCCAAACGCTGAAGGAGAAGCACGCGTCTGCCCACAAGGAACCATGGGGTCCTACCATCAAAAACGGTCTCAAGGCATTCTGGGTCTTCTTTCTTACACCGTCAGGCTTCCTGATCACCATATATGGCCTTAACGTCGTGGTACGTTGTCCCCTGCCCCGCGAATAACGTTGTGCGCTAACATTCTAAGGCCTGGGGCGCGATGCTCTTCTTCCTGCTCCTGAAAGCCGCCCCTGCCATATGCCATGTGCGCGGCACGCAGATCTACGACTGCGACAATAACTACAGCCAGAATAAGATCTGGCTCGAGATCGACAGCTAAATCCTTAACGCCCTCTTCTGTGTTACTGGCTTTGGCCTTGCACTATAGCGCTTTCGCGACTTCTACTGGGTGAAGCGCGCAATACACTTCCACGACCTAAACGCTATGCGCTGCCTGTTTAACTAGAACAAAGCCTGGTTCCGCCCACCGACGTGGTTCACCGAGATCGAAGACCAGCAACCTGCGACGTTCACGGGAGTGAGGGCGCCGGCAACTGCCATGTGGAAGTTGGCATTTACGGTGGATATAATGGTGCTGAATACGCTGCTGCAGGCGGTGCTCTGTTTCTTTATGTGGCATTACAATAGGCTGGATCGCCCCACGTGGGCGACGGGTACGTTCATCGCGTTGGGATGCGGTGTCGCTATGTTCGCGGGTATCATGTCTTGGTGGGAGGGAAGGAAGGTGAAGAAGATTGAGGGCCCGGAGATCAAGATCAAGGCGAAGGCGGAGGAGTCAGGTGGGAGTAGCAAAGTGTAACAAGAGGCACATTGGCATTGCAGAAGAGAGTGCATCTATAGACTTAATCCTATTTTACCTTCCTGTAAGGCACACGTCACGCATAGTAGGCGATGCACCTTCTCGCGCCAGGTGTCGCTAGGTACTGTATTGGTGTTTCGCCTAACTCCTTGCAGATTCGAATTCAAGACGCAGCAAAAACACCAGAGTCAAGTCTTAATCAAATCTATACACGGCTGGCGGCAGACCCAATCAAATGTTACGTCAAATATGGCTGGTTCAGACTTTTGAATGGTGTGCGCACTCTAAAAGTATGTTACAGGAAACTAAAATCATTAGATGCCCATGTTGACGTGGGGAAGGCGGTGTTGAGGTCATGGACTGCTTATTCTTCATGCTGTGGAAGGTCAAGTCCAAGCTTATTTCCGCTGCTCCGCGACTCCAGTATAAACCACAATCCGTACGAAGGGACCGTCCGCGTTCGCCCCCGTCATGAGGGCTATGCCGTTGTAGGGTGGAGTGCGACGGTTTTTTCTGTTACACTTGAGACTAACATTACTGCTTGGCGATTCGCTGGATATTCAGGAGTCGCTGCGCCTGCCACCGTGGAGTGGATTTTGCGTAAGACCATATTTGGTAAAAGACTCACCGTCCGACCGTCCGACCGTCCGAGTAAGCGGATGTGCTACGGAGTAAATTAAACGCCACCCGTCTGTATAGCCGCTGTCGCACTAGGAACGCCAGTCCCTTCCGGCTCGCGCATCCCAAACTAACTGTGCAGCTAGCTTGCTACCCCATCAGGAGTGCTCATGAATCGTCATTGTACTTAGTGATCGACATGAAGGAGCGTCTGACGACTGGGTTGAGCGGGCCAAGAAAGGTCCGGCGTCCGATTGAGGGTGTCTATGCATTAATGTTATACAAAGCTTGAAGGATCTGAAGCAAAGAGTGATAGTGGAGACTTGGACAACGTTATAAAGAGGTGAAAGAACATGACAGTTATCTCCAATTAGTCGATTACCTCCTCGCGACCACTATCTCACTTACCATCACTTACCAATCTTCTTCCTAATATCCATCGCTGCATCGCCCTGTAGACATGTTCGTCGACTTGTCTCACTCACATGGCTTGCAGAGCATTGTGCTCTATACTGGCAGCCTTTTGGTTCTGGTGGGTATCAAAATCCTGCTGACCGCTGTCTACAATATCACTTTCCATCCTCTCAAGAAATGTAAGTCGACGCGGTAAAACACGACTACAGCCTACTCATACAGTGTACAGACCCTGGCCCCATGAGTGCTGGTGCGACAAGCCTTATATTTTCCTACTACAACTTGAAGGGCGATGAGGTATCGTGGACGCGGCGAATGCATGAGCAGTATGGAGAGGTCGTGCGCCTTAGCCCTGATAGGCTCAGCTACATCAACCCGCAAGCATGGAAAGATATTGCTGGGCACCGCGTTGGGAACCGGAAGGAGAACTCGAAAGATCCCCGCTTCCTGGGCCGAGCGTACAATGGTGAAGACAGTATCGTCACAGTGATGGACACGAAAGAACACAGTAGCACTCGCAAGATCTTCTCACACGCATTCAGCGAAAAGGCGTTGAGGTTGCAAGAGCCCATGATCCGCGACTACGTTGGGCAACTTAGAGAGGTTTTGTATGAGAAATCTAATGAGCAAGTGGATCTGGTCAAACTTTACAATTGCACGACTTTCGATATTATGGGAGATTTGGCGTTCGGCGAGCCCCTGGGCCTGCTTCAAGCTTCAGAATACACACCGTGGGTCAAAGCTGTGTTTCTCAGCATCAAGGCGGGCACCTTCCTTCGTCTGGCGCGCCAGTACCCTTTTTTCCAGAACATAGTGGAACTTCTTACGCCCAAATCCCTCAAGGAGAAGCGACGATTACACTTCGAACATGCTGTAGAGCGTGTCGACCGTCGTTTGGCAAATGGAGACAATCCCGACAAACCGGATATCTGGAGCCTTATCCTGGAAAAGGAAGGCGATCAGCTCGATGTTGGCAAGATGCATGCCAACGCATCGATCTTCATGGTTGCTGGCACTGAAACTACAGCGACGCTGCTGAGCGGCTTGACATTCTACCTTCTTAAAAATCCCGACAAGATGCAGAAGGTGCAAGACGAAGTGCGTGCACTATCCGAAGAGGACTTGACGCTTGATATGCTACCTCGACTGCCTTACATGAACGCTTGTTTTGAGGAAGCCCTCCGCGTATATCCCCCTGTCCCCATCGGTCTCCCTCGGGTGGTGCCAAAGGGGGGCAACGCTATCTGCGGGGACTGGATTCCAGCAAATGTAAGTGGAAAAGCTCACCAAATATGATCTCGTGACGTGTCTGACATTTCTTCTACAGACTCGTGTCTACGTCTCTCAGAAGGCAGCGTATTCCTCTCCGCTTAACTTCAAAGACCCCGACTCTTTCATCCCTGAGCGCTGGCTGCCAGATACAGGTTATGACGGCGACAAGAAGGAAGTCATGCAGCCTTTCTCCTACGGGCCGCGGAATTGCGTAGGAAAAAAGTACGTTGCTCCCCCTGTCCCCAAACTTAACATATCCACAATGCTAACAATGGATGCAGCTTAGCATACCATGAGATGCGGATCATTTTCGCAACCGTTCTGTGGCACTTTGACCTGGAACTGTGCCAGGAGAGTGAGTCATGGAGTGAACAGAAAGTGTGGTCAGTGTGGAGCAAAGGGCCCCTATGGGTGAAGGCAAAGCCTATCAAATAACAGCAATATAGTTTTGTCTTTGCACACTGTATTTGCAGACCAGAATCAAGCAGGATTCGTTTGGTGTCTGTAGGAAGATATGTTATTTTGCGAGAGATGATTGTTAGCAGTTAGGATAGAAATATTTGTTAAATGGATGTAAGCCTGGGACCACATCACATGGCTGCTCTGCAGGCATAATGTAAGCATAGGGTGGTAGTAGTATAAGGTCACATGAATGAGTGTATTCTTCTGTGTATGTACAAATGTGTGATCTGAGCTCTTAAGTAGTCGGACGCATTAGTCATGCCTGCAGAGCAGTCATGTGATGCGGTCCTAGGCTTACACATAACTAATGCTTCCGACTATTTCAGAGCTCAGACACACACTTGTACATACACATAACAATACACTCATACATGAGACCTCATACTGCTACCACCTCTTGCTTACATAGCAAAATATGCTTCAATGGATGACCCGGGAGAGCGGCGCGTCAGAATTGTGTTGAACCTGATTTTTCTGAAGACCCGATGCTAGGAGAATTGTTAATGGTATCATCGTTGTAATTAGATGTAAACAGATGCGAAGGAGGCACATACGCTGCGATGGGCTATAGCAGTGTTCTGCGCGTGGCTCCGCAGTCAGACGGCGTTCGAAGTTAGGGCGGTGTGCGGCACAGCTATGCAGGCGCTTGATGTCGGACTTAATAGTGGCATTGAAAGCCGAGGCGTTTCAGATCTTGCACTGCCACCCATAAAAGAGGTCGTAAGTTCATCGCGTCCATCCACCAACTACTAATGATCGCACGTCTGTTGGCAGCGCTCACTGCCCTCAAACTGTTTGTATGGAAAGTCACTTCCTCACACCGACAACACCACGACGCGCAACTCTTGTCTTAAGCCTGTGTGTTCTCGCGCCAAGACATTGACGATGTAAGTGCTACATGAACGTCTTAACTCAATCTGCAATAACTCACACACGATACAGTCTACGATGGATGACCAGCCCTCGAGCTACTCAGATCCAGCGACCGACCCAGCAATGGGCGCACCTATCTACGCTTCAGCTCAGCACATGATGAATTACGGAGCGCTCCCCACGGCATATAAGCTGAGGTGGCTGCACCAGCCGCCCCAGCGCGTACCACACGAGCACGGTTAATACGGCCACAGAAAAAATATTCTGAATAGCTAGAAAGTTTCGGACACATCTATATAACGATACAACCAAAAATTCAACGATAATAGCTATTGTTGGTGGCTGTACAGCCTCATCTTTCGTACGAATATTGTGTTGATGGGTGATCATCGCGCGCACGGACACGGTACAGTCCGTGCGCACCCAACGAGCCAGTTCAGTCAACGAGCCACCCGAAGCCCCGCAACCTCATGAACCATCCCAACTGCGACGCGTCATAAGTCCACAACCATGGACCCGATTCAAGAAGCGATTGAATATATCGAATCGCGTGAGGCTGGAGATAAATTCTCGTACCGCCAAGTTGCAAAAATATTCGGAGTTGATCGAACGACGTTGTCGCGGAGGCACCGGGGCGCACAACAACCCCGGGGCACAGAGGCGGCCGAACATCGACGAAATCTCAACCCACAACAAGAGGATAAGCTTAATAGCTTCGTAGAAGGGTAAACAAGAGACGGCGTACTACCTACAAGGAGTATTTTGAAGAATTTCGGCAGCGCGGTTGCGCAGCATGAGGTTTCGGATAGCTAGGTTACCCGGTTTCGACACCGTCATCCCGATGAGCTCATCTCCAAATAGGACACCGGTATAGATCGTGAGCGTCACTTAGCTAACAACAAGCGTAAATACGAGTTGTACTTCAACTTGCTGCACTCTAAGATGCAAGAACATGAGATTGAAGAGCGCAACACGTACAATATAGATAAGAAGGGCTTCTTTGTCGGCATCGCCTACTGCAGGAAGAGGATCTTCTCTAAGGCAGTTTATGAGTCGGGGGAGCGTACAACGGCGATAAGAGATAGCAACGGAGAATAGGTAACGCTGCTAGCTTGCGTATGCGCTTCTAGAGAGGCATTGCCGCCCGCTCTCATCTATTAGGGCATCTCCAGGGTTCAATCAAGCTAGATTGACGACCTGTTAGCCGAACAACACTAAATCTTCGTATCCCACTCGGCTTCGGGATGGTTAAATAATGATTTAGGGCTTGCCTGGCTTCAACAGGTCTTCGAACGCTTCACAGCAGCCAAAGCTCGCCGGCAATAGCGCCTTCTGATCCTTAACGGCCACGCCAGCCACCTCACGCCCGATTTTTTAGAGTATTGTGAAGCTAAACGCATCATAGTTATGGTGTACCCACCACATTCTACACACAGTTTGCAGCCGTTAGATGTTGTGCTCTTTTCGCCGCTTTCGAAGCACTACACCAAGGAGCTTACCCAACGCCTCCAGCGGACCTAAGGCATCTCGAGGATCACCAAACGCGACTTCTACAGCAACTTTTGGCCGGCTTAGAGCTCTACAATGACTCACGATCTCATATTAAAGAGTTTTCAAGCTACAGGCGTATAGCCGATGGACGCTGACCCGGTACTTCAACGCTTCAACAACCAACCACAACAACAAGATGACGAGCCAGGAATTAGGGAGCAAGGCGACGGCGATACCTAGCCTCAACTGCGCAAAATTTTTGACGCTGCGGTGGCTGACAAGGCCAAATTTGAAGCCAAACGGCTGTCCCAAGGCCTACACTCGCTGCAGGTCAACAACGAGCTTCTCCGCCTCCAAAACGCGGAGCTACGCGCTGAACTCAACCTCATGAGATCCCGACCGTCCAAATCAACAACACTAACTACTCAAGAGGGCGACGATTGGCACGGCGGAGCTGTATTCTACAGTCCCAGGAAGCTTGCCAGCCTCCGCGCGCGCAAGGCCGCAGAACTGGACGAAGCCGCGGAGCTACAACTCCAAAAAGCTCGCGATAGAGAGAGAAAAGCAGCAGAAGCAGCTGAGAAAAAGCGCTCTCAAGAAGCTGCAAAGGTGGCTCGACAACAAGCCAAAATTGCTAAGGATGCGGAGCAGTTACGGCAGCGTAAGGAGAAAGCTGCCGAACGGGCACTCAAAAAGCAGCAACAACAAGCTGCAACCGCTCAAAAAAGTCGCGATACAGCAAATAAGCGTAAGCGAGAAGCCTTACACAAACCAGCAAAAAAACCGACAAAGCGTCGTCGTGTTGTTGCTCCATCAAGTCGGGTGGTTGCCAGTCCGCCTCGGGCGCCCTCCCCACCCAGATTTGGCTTGCGAGAGCGCCAACTTAAGACGCCAGCGAGATACAAGTAGTGCAAACGCTTTAGTAGCGTCAATATATCAATACACCAAAAAATCTCACGATAATAGCTATTGTGGGTGGCTCAATAACCTCATCTTTTTTGTCGTCTGATCTTGTTGGGGTGGCTCGTTGACTGAACTGGCTCGTTGGGTGCGCACGGACTGTACCGTGTCCGTGCACCAAATGCGTGCTGTCACCAAATGCGCCGAATCCGCGGAAACTGCGCCTGTAAGCTTGAGGCTGTAGAGCTACACACAATAGCTATTTTCACGAGAATCTTTGATAGAGTGCTCTATAGACCTATGCGACAATATCCTTTCATACATATTAATTGTATAGAGTTGCTGTTCTGCCGCTGCGGGTAGTGTGGGTGCGAAGCTGCTGAGGAGGCTCTGCAGCAACAACACGACTACGCGCAGCAGCAACACCTACTTTCGGCTTCTTGTTTGGTGCTGTGCTTTGTGAAGCCTTACGCTTGCCTCTCTGGGACAATTGTAGAGCTTTTTCACAGTCTTTCTTCTCCTTGTCCTTGCGTCGTTGCTCTTTGCGCGCATCGATTGCCTTGCGCTCCTCTGCCTTCGCCTTCCTCCGTGCCTCTTGGTCTCGTGCACGCTGCGCCTTCTTTTCTTCTGCAATCTTGTCGTTGTATAGCTTACTAGCCTTCTTCAACTCTCTTATATTAGCCTTGTCTAACTCATCTGCTTCCTTCTCTTCTTGTGCCTGCTTTATGCGCACCTTAGCTTCTCTGAATGACCGCGGAGTCCACATTATTGAAGGGCCCTAGTACTCATAGTGTTGCAGCAGGTCAAGAGGCTTGCCATTTATCTCTCTCCTTTTCTTGACAGTAAGAGCGTTAAGCAAACCCTCATTTTCGCTCTGCAGGAGGGTGTTCTGTATAGCCATGTGGTGGAGCGATTGCTAAATAGTAGATGCGTCCTTTTCTAAGGCACCACCTAACGCGCGTTTTATACCTGTATTTAGTTTCTGCTATGCCTTACCGCTATATGTAGGAGCTTCCTCTGACGCGTTGCTAGAGGTGTCTGAGTCGTTATTGGTGAAGCGATCGAGTATAACGTCGGGGTTGAAGGGGTGTACACCTGTTGCCTTGAACGAGCTGAAGATGTTCTTCGCAGTAAAGCTGCTCACCTAAGCGTCCCAGAACAGGCCAAAGAAGTCAGCCTTAGTTACAGGCACTAAGCCTTGATGCTTGTGAAGGCGTGTTGCGAGCTTCTTTGAGTATGCTGTGCTGAGAGGCTTAAACATCACTACATCGAGCGGCTGCAGCGTGTGGGTGCTGTGAGGTGGATAGATACCTAACAGTATCTTATGCCTGTGGCAATACTCAAGAAACTCTTCTGTTAGGTGGCTCCCATGGCCATCCACAAGCAACAGGCGGTACTTTCTTCGAGCTTTTGGTGCCGTGAAGCGCTCAAACACCCGCTGAAGCTAGGCAAGACCAAGACTATCGTTCGACCAGCCACTGCCTGATACTCCGAAGAAGGCCATATGTTCTCCTACCTTCACGTCCTCTACCTAGGTTGATTGTATGTTGTTGGAGTCAGCCGCATAGATAAGAGCCGGCGGCAACGCTGTACCATTGGCGCAAGCACACGCTAACAAGCTTATCCACTCGCGATTGCCATCCTGTAGCATCTGCTTAAACTGCTTCTTCTTGAACAGCCTCTTGCTAAAGATCCTCTTCTGTCTACTAACGGCTCCAATCAGGAAGTCTTTCTCATCCATATTGTATGTGTGCTCTAGCTCCACTTCGTAGAAGTCGATCTTGCCGCCTAGGTGTTCAAAGTACACCTTGTACTTATCACCCGAGTTAGCGGCGTGGCGTTTACGGTCCATAGAAGTGCTCCACTAGGATGTAAGCTCATCTTAGTGTTGGTGGAGGAAGCGAGCAACCTATCTTTTAGAGACAAGGTGTCCAGCAATATCAGACGCGTAATTCTGCACTATTTCTCTTGTAGGAGGTAGCTTTCGCTCTGTTAGCTCCTCTATATACTTTACAAGTTCTGCCTCCTGTTGTGGTTGTAGATTCTGTTGTGATGTTGACACCTCTTGCCGAGAGCGCGTTTCACAGCGGTGCCTGCGCGTTAACGTTGAGCGAACAACACCATGCTTGTCAGCTATTTTTTGCTAAGGGATCTTGTCGCTAGAGGGTATAGAATTACACTCTGCAAGCGCTTCTTCGATACCTGTCATTGTTGTTGTGTTATGGTGTTGAGAAAAAGTGGCGCATATTAGGTTTCCGCGCATTTGGTGATGGCGCGCATTTGGTGCACGGACACGGCACAGTGTCCGTGCACCCAACGCCCGGAGTCACTGAACGCCCGGCACGCAACATCTACACAGTATTTCAACGCGTAACAACTCAACAACTATGCTAGGCCTGCAAGATGCGCTTACAGAGATTCGTAATTTAGACCTAGGCGATAAACTTGTCTATACAAATATTGCTCAAAAACACGGTGTTTCGCGCACAACGTTGTCCCGCGCGCACTGCGGTGTGCAGGTCCCTTAGGGCGTCGCTGACCTAAACCAACGAAAGCTCACCCTACAATAAGAAGCAGACCTTGTGCAGTATATAGAAACACTTTCAGCGCGTTACTTGCCACCTACGAGAGCTATGGTACAAAATTTCGCGTCTAAAGTAGCCTAGGATCCTTGCTCTGATAGCTGGGTTACACGCTTCCTGCACCGTTACCGCGACCGACTTACCTGCCACTAGGCGACGGGTATGGACTCCAATCGCTATAACGCTGAGTCTGGATATAAGTATAAGCTTTACTTTGACCTACTGCAGCAGAAGATTACTGAGTATGACGTTGAGCTAGAGAATACGTACAATATGGATGAGAAGGGCTTCGCAATTGGGGTACTTGGAAGATCGAAGCGCATTTTCAGTAGGCGTCAATATAAGAAGAAGGAGGTTAGGCAGGCTCGTCAAGATAGCTCACGTAAGTGGGTGAGCTTGTTGGCTACAATCTGCGCAGATGGTACTGCTCTGCCTCCTAGCATCATATTCGCATCAATAAACTCCACAATCTAGAGCTATTAGGTGGCCGATATTAAGGCAGGAACACACCCAATTCACGTGTCTTCTTCGCCTACTAGCTAGACAAATAATAATATTAGATTAGCTTAGCTTAAACAGATATTTAACCGCTATACAAAGCTAAAGGCGCGCAGAAGTTACAGGCTTTAGATAGTAGATGGCCACGGGAGTCACCTGACGCAGGACTTTATTGACTACTGCGATCAGAATCGAATTATACTCGCTGTGTTGCTACTTTATAGTACACAGACGCTGCAGCCGTTGGACGTAGTCTGCTTCAAGCCACTCTCCTCCGCCTACGCCTCCGAGCTCGATGACTACCTCCAGAAGTCTTAAGGCCTATCGCCATTGACGAAAGGTGGCTTCTTCTACCTATTCTAGCCTGCCTAGGTGCACACAGTTAAGGAAGAGCTTATACAAAACGCCTTCACTGCCGCAGGGATAAGCCCGATAAACCCTGACGTTATACTAGATAGATTCTGCCACGCAACACCTAGCGACTCAGGCTTAGTTTCCTCTAGTTCTACAGCCTATTCTGCAGAGGATTGGCTTAGAGCTTGCACTACACTGCATGCAGAGGTAAAGGATCCTCGCAGTGCAGGTGCACGGAAGCTTGGCTAAACTATCCACTACCTATCGACACAGGTAGAGCTCCTTCACAACGAACTAGAAGGCTTGCAGCAGAAGCTATACCTAAAACAGAAGCGTCAGAAGCAACCTAGCAGGCAATTAGACTTGCAACAGCACTAGGAGTATCACGGCGAGGCGATGGTGTGGTCTCCTCAAGCTATTCAAGAGGCGCGCGTCCGCATGGCAGTTACTGAGCAAGAGAAGGAGGAAGAAGAGCTAAGAAAGGCAGAGATGAAGGAGTTAGCAGCTGCTAATAAGCTATACAAGGAGAAGATTGAGGAAGAGAAGCGTCTAAAGCGGGCGAGGGAGAAGGAAGAGCGTGCAAAGGTTAAGGCAGAGGAACGCCGAGCAATAGACGCGCGGAAGGCTGCCAGAGCCGCTGCTAAACAGGCTCGCGACTCTGCAAAAGGTATACAACAGTCCCAAAGAGGCAAATCTACAACCTCAAAAGCTTCTGTAGTCAAACCAAAGCCTGCGCGTTGTGCTGTAGGTGCTCGTGGTCGCCCGAAGCCTGCGACGCCTCCTCCGCCCGTGCGAACCCACACTACACGTAGCGGCCGCACCGCCACCTTATATAAATAATATATATAGAGGAACTTGATCGCATATGTCTATAGAGTACTCCACCAAAGATTTTCGTAGTAATAACTATTGTACGTGGCTCTGTAGCCTCATCTCTGTGATGGGCTTCAAGGCACGGAGCGGGCGTCCGGTGACTCCGGGCGTTGGGTGCACGGACACTGTATCTTCCCCCCTTCCAAGGCAAGCGCGTCCGCTCCGAAGCGTCAAGTCTCTCATGCACCACGGTCTGTAACGTTGTGCTAGATCTGTGTCTTCGATCTCGCAGAGTGGACTACCCTAGCTGCCGGTACACTACTGATTCGACCACGACTTACCAATCGACACCAGCCAACAAGAAGCACTCTCTTTACCCACGGACTGCCACAAAGAGGCTGCATAATCCAGAGTCGATAGTGCTTTTGGTCTTGTTCTGTATTCGTAGGCGGCATCAGAGCACAGAAACTCTTACCATCGAGGTGAAATGATTCGTCGTCATGCGGATATGGCCAAACCGGATGGTCCGCTCAGTAGATGCGGCTCTAAGCAAGTCGGATAGCGATATGGGGCGCACTACCGGAGATACGGGCATTATCGTCGACCGTCCAGGAACCACAATGACAATACGACGCTTGCACTCAGCGGATGCGAAAGAGCATATTCAAGGACGTCTTATCTGCGATCGACTGTCATATCTTACAATATGCCTAGAGCATTGCGCCGTTCTTCGAAAGCTGTAAGGGGATGTGCTCTTGGCCCTATGTCAGTGTAGCCGTGCGAAAGCGGATGGTCGGATTTTAGATATCGCAGCTAACTCCACACGGCTAAACCGAGACTTCAATTGCGCACTAGCGCGGACGAAAATGGAGGAGGCGAGATCAAATAATACACTCTCTTATGCCTGCCTTATTGGGAGTTCTGCAGATCGAGAGTCTTCACTACCACCTTACAGTCGCAGGAAGCGCCGTCTAAGATCCGTACCGAACAACACCAAGAATAGGCTCTTTCCACACGCAAAACTTTGATCGACGTCTAATGGAGAAGGATCATGAGTCCGGCCGCTCAGGCCGTATTCCGCACTTCCAACGAGTCTTCAACCAAGGAGTCGTCAACGACGACATCATCAACCACCTTTACAGGGGATCAGGGACTGAGAATGACCCTTTTCTGGTCACTTGGATCGACAATGACCCGATCAACCCGATGAACTATTCGACTGGTATGAAATGGAGCATCACTATGCTTGTCGCGATCGCAACGCTGGCTGTAGCCTTCGTGTCCTCTGCATACTCTGGCGGTGTCGCTGAGATCCTGGAAGAATTCCAAATCTCACAGATCATCGGTACACTAGGTATCTCGTTGTTCGTCCTAGGGTTCGCTATCGGACCGCTGGCATGGGCTCCATTGAGTGGTAAGTATCCCACGCTGTCTACAAGTTGCAATCGCAGGTTGCTAACACTATCCAGAATTGTACGGTCGCCAGTACCTCTTCTTCGGTACCTACATGTGCCTCACTGCCTTCAACGCTGGCGCGGCTGGCTCTCAGAACATCGAGACTCTGATCATCCTAAGATTCTTGGCTGGTTCGTTTGGCTCCTCGCCATTGACCAATGCTGGTGGTGTCATCGCGGACATGTTTCCTGCATCCCAGAGAGGCTTAGCTACGAGCATCTTCGCGGCTGCTCCAATGCTGGGACCTGTCATTGGTCCAATTGGTGAGTGCTTCCACTGTCCAACACAATATCCGGAGTATAGAACTAACACGCAACAGTTGGTGGTTTCGTCGGTCAGTCCATCGGCTGGCGCTGGATCGAAGGCGTCATGGCTATATTCACTGGTGTTCTCTGGATCGTCTACACTGTCTTCATCCCAGAGACCTATGCCCCAGTGCTGCTCAAAAAGCGTGCCGCAGCCCTCTCGAAGCGAACCGGAGACGTCTACAAAAGCAAATCCGAGGTCGAGCAAGGCACCAAATCTATCGGGACAGCATTCAAGACCGCTCTCATTCGCCCATGGCAACTTCTATTCCTCGAACCGATCGTTCTGCTCCTATCCATATACATGGCCGTCATCTACGGAACGCTATACATGCTCTTTGGCGCTTTCCCCATAGTCTACCAGCAAGGCCGTGGCTGGTCGCAAGGCATTGGTGGTCTCGCATTTTTGGGTGTGGCAGTAGGCATGATTGCAGCCACTATCTACTCGATATGGGACAACAAGCGTTACAACAAGGCCATCGAGGCTTCGCCTTCTGGCATCGCCGCGCCCGAAGCTCGACTTCCACCTGCCCTTCTGGGCTCTGTCATTATGCCCATTGGCCTTTTCTGGTTCGCGTGGACCAATGGACCGAACATTCACTGGATTGTTAGCATCATAGCTAGCGTGCCTTTCGGCTTCAGTATGGTTCTTGTCTTCCTTTCGATCATGAACTACCTCATCGATGCGTACCTCATCTACGCGGCGTCCGCTCTTGCTGCTAACTCGGTGCTGCGATCGCTCTTTGGCGCTGCATTCCCGCTTTTCACTTCTGACATGTATAAGAATCTGGGCATACATTGGGCTTCTTCGGTTCCGGCATTCTTGGCATTAGCTTGTGTGCCTTTTCCTTTCTTATTTTACAAATATGGTGCTGCGATTCGTCAGCGCTGTAAGTATGCTGCGGAGGCTGCGGAGTTCTTGGAGAAGATGCAGCAGAAAGGCTAAAGTTAAGGTTATAAAACGGGCGCAGGACGCTATCCATGATGGCGAGGCACTGCGTAAGCTAATTATATTGTTACCCTCTGTGTAGGGTCTAACATGGCCCAGTTGTAATCATATATTCTTGTTTAGATTTTAAACCCTGCTATCTAAGAGTTAGCTGTTTTACCATCCTTCCTAGGAAATCGATTTAGAAGATAATGTAATTTATCGTGAATGGCCTGGAGGTGGCCTGGAAAAATAGCTGCAGTTTTTGCAGCTTCAACAGGGTCTTGAGGCCTTCGTGCGTTCGTTATGTCCAGACGGGCTTGCATTAACCAAACGGCCGTTCTCGGTTCTGCATGCCCATCTGAGCCCATTCAGATAGGTCCCAAGAGTTACATCAATGTAGTCTCTAGGTTCTTCAGGGTGGGGTATAAAGCCACATAGTGCGTTCTTGACCTCGTCATCATCATAAGTAGCTTCGATGTGGGCGATGAAGGCGGCGCTGAACACTTGTTGACAGTAGCGCACCGACTGTAGCGTGATGTATTCGCCATCGAAGACTGGTACGGGTTCGAGCTTTGCTAAACCATCGGCACTGCGATCGATGTAAAGTGTATCAGGCACCGGTGTGTTCGTGGAAGATGATATATACATAAGACACGTAACCGTAGCTGATGTGGGCCGATGGGGCTCCGAAAGGTTTCACCGTGACTTGCCGTCCTGTGGCTTAGTTGTGTGGCGTTGGAACATCGTGACAGTTGGTATTATCGAGGGACCCACCGATTGGGCTTCAGCCTATTACAGACTCATCCGTGTAGTACGTTAGTGAGCGTAGCTTCCATTACTAGCAATGTACTCTAGTCTTGTAACACTGGATTTAGAGCCCTAGGATAAATTTTCGCTATTATGTACAGCATCGCTGACGACTAACAAGAAACAATCCATAGTCGAATCATCTACCTTAATAACTTCTGTCTGCTGGTCGATAATCTATTCCTGCTTACTCCGCGCGTTGGCGCTGCGCTGCGTCGCAGTTTTGACCAATGTCTCTGCCGACGTGTTCCCGCTGCTGGCATTGGCGCTGACGATGTGGAAGGAGAAGTCGAGTTCACCAACGAGCTTCTTGACAGCCCTATGTCACATCAGCATTCCAGTCATTAATTTACCAATAAAATAGTGGTGGTCCTTACTTGAGCAGTTTCTCAATATCCATCGATATGCAGCGCGTGCTGACGGCCATGACGGCAAACGCAGCATAACCCGGCTCAGCAATGTGTCGCAAGTTGAATATATCCGAATCCACAACCTCCATCTCCCGGCTCAGCTGATACTGATGCGGCAGCTTCAAATATGGCGGAAGCGGCTGCCCGTTTCGGATCGAGCTCGACAGCAGCGACAACAGCGTTGTGATCTCGTGGCTCGTGACACTCGCGTCCTTGACCACCCTACGAAAATCTTCCAGCCACTGCACACTCACTTGCTTCCGGAACTTGGCCGCAGTCAAACTCACTCTTTCGTCCGATGCATCGGGATTGAGCGACGGTTGTGTGAACGCCTGGCTCGCGTACCCGAGCAACGCAGTATACTTGAGAATGTTATCCACGTACCCGACGATCTCCTCATAGTCCTTGGCGGGGAACTTGCCCCCGAGGGGAAACTCGAATCTCACAAACCTCGAGTGCATTCTCAGCGCTTGCAGAGTGAGCATTTGCTTCGCAAAGACCTTGTTCTGCGCCTTACTCAACATATATGCCGGTGATGACTTATCCTTCTCTTCGTCCCCTGCGTCGCCCCGGATCCGCGCCAACACCTGTTCGTGCATGATAGAATAATAGTTTGCAGAGAGATACAACGCGCCGCCGAGTTGCTGCCGCAGCGCCGAGTGCTCGGTGATTGGGTAGGGGAAGACGGTCCAGAAGAAAGCGACTGCGAGACCGCCAGAGACAACGGCGAGACGATAGGGCCCGAGCTGGTAGATGGGGTATGCGGGCTGGCCGCTGGCGGTTGCTGCTTGGATTCCGATTTTGCGAACTTGCAGCTCGTAGCCCACGATCGTGACGGAGGTGACGACGCTGATCAGACCAACGATGATGAAGTCTGGGCGCTTAAGCGGGATGTAGAAGCCAATTGCCACGAAAAGCCATACGAAAGGAATGATACCCCATGTTTTTTGGTCAGGGATGTACCAGATTAGCCAGGCGAAAAGCATGGCAATAAAGGTGGCTCCGATACGGGCCATTGATTGGAAGGCAGCTTGGCCTGCGGTTGGCGTCATAGAGAGGGCAACCATGAACATGGCCCAGACGAGACGTTGTTCGATGAAGAAGGTTTGGGTGTCGTGAAAGAAGGCGATAATGCCTATGGACATCGTGGCACAAGCAGCACGGAGACCGAAAGCGGATTCAGTGGAACGGAAAAATCTCGCACATGTGCGGATGATATCACCAAACTTCTTCCAGCCGTTTTTGGGGGGTAGGTGTTCAGGATCTTTCTTGCTGTTGTATGCTTCGCCCATGTAGATAGTGGTGTTATTTCTTTCCAAACCTGCGATCGTCGTCTCGTCGTCGTGATTTGAGTCTTGGGTTTGAAAGATACTCTTGAGCCACTTCTTCAGACGTCGGCCGCCAGGATTTATAAACTTCTTCTTTGCTGTTGCCTGGTTATGCTCATCGGCGAACTTGACGAATTCAAGAATCGAACGGCTGACTGAGTTGAGAAGGAAGATGATATAAAGGACCATGTACAGCTGTCGCTGATCCTTTTGTCGTGTTGCTATACTGGGTAGGCGTTGAAGAGTTTCCTTGTCAATCTGACCAGGATGGGAGAAGCAGTCAGCGCTAAGCTTAATACCCTTGCTCTCGACCCAGTGGCGCAGCATCGGTGCTTTTGTGCTGTAAAATGCATCTGCTTGCTTCTCCATGTACTCTGCGAAATTCTTATCGCCAGGCTTCACAGCGTCGCCCTTTGCCTCCGTATCATCCTGATTTTGGCCCTTCTTGTTCTTTGGCAGCGAAATGAAATGCATTCTGAGCATGATGTGCGTAAGACCCTCGTCCATAACTTGCATGATGTGGTCGAACGGCTCATGCACGGACGAAAACAGCTCGTTCCATTCGCCGATTGCCTTTGCTCGCAATTCGAGGTCGTCTTCCGACCCGTTTTCACCGTCCGAATGGTTGATCTCTGCTGCTCGCTCGAACAGATCCATGACTGAACCCAGACCGAGCATGGGCATAAGAATCGATCTTAGGTGCTTGAACATTGCTTGGAAATCGTCCGGCGTAAGCTTGCCATAAGCTACCTCTCTCTTGGCGAACACAAGATCTGCGGTAAGCTTTCCATGCAGTTCCTGAAGGCTTGCTATGGTCTCCTTAACAGCTGTAGCTTCTGGCCTAGCCTTTGGTTTCTTCTCCTCGTCTGCATCTTCGTCTCTCTCGGCTTCGGGAACATAGATTGAGCTGAATATGTCTGACCCCTCCAGGCTGTGGATGTAGTTCTTGTGCGCTGCAATAGCCGCCTTCAGAAGCCCTAGGTATCCAGTCATCTCCTTGACGACAACCTGTCGGCAGGTGATAGGTACGATGAACAGGCTCACACCAGTAGCGAGGGCAAACCCAGTGAGGAACGCAATCAGTAGGCGTCGGACGAAAGACTCGCACTGTGCGGTCGTCATGAACTGGAAGCCGGAGGTCGCCGCAACATTGGCCTGGATTGAGAAGATGATGACCGGAAAAGAGAATTGCGGGAACTTAGCCTTCAAAGTGTTGACAATGTAGATCAGAAAGAACAACCAGACACCCAGAACTGCTGACTGAGAGGAGTTGTAACGCGATGGAGGCGCGCCGGGGGCAGTGGTGTGCTCTCGCGCCTTGAGCGCCGACCACACCATTAACATGGCAAGAGCTGATCCAATGCATGTGGCGATTACATTCATGATCATAGTCTGAATGAATTTCGCTCTTGGCATGATACAGAAACCCAGAATTGAGACGATGGCGACAAGATATCCAAGAGTTCCGTATATCGCTGCGATCTTATCTGCTTGGTACATGGCGAGCGCTATTGTTGGTGGCAGCGCTGCTTTGCCCATTACCATGAGCGTTCCAGCATCCAGCCCAAGCTTTTCCCACATGTTCTTGAATCTGCCTGCCTCTCTTTGCTTCGTTTCCTCCTCGTTGGTGTTGACTCCTGTTGTTGCGCTTTGCTGATTGCAATCGGCCTCTCCAGCTGGGGCGTCCGGCTTCACTGCGCCGCGGGGATCCGTTGCTTCCTCATCCGGCAGATGCCCATCGTGCGCTGGTCTCGCCATATCTTGAAAATGCCACAACCTGGCGCGACGTTGATGTGAACCAAAAAGATGTGGAGAGATTGTAAGAGGGCGCCCAGTTGACGGAGGCCCAAAAAGCATGAACTCTAAATTCCGATGCTCCGCTTTCCGATTAACTCCGGCACTTCTGCGGAGGATCTTCGATGTCATCGAGTAATCATTGGCAGCAGTTGGCCCAGGCGCGCTAGTTATCCTTTAGCATTTTTCAGATGCGGAGGGTGGGCGGCTCTAAGTTAGAGATGCTGATCTTAAATCAGCACGAAGCGAGCCGTCAGCAATTTACAGAACACACGCAAAGGAGCGCCTCGTCAGTTGTTGTTTAATACAAACGTTCGCAGTTCAACCTCGTGAACGAAGAGTGAAGGTGAAAGGTACAGCATTACGATTCATAATCTACTGCAGATCATCGTTACTTGTCAGAAGTTCACTCCCTGTCACGGCGCTGAGACGGAAAGCTAATTAGAGCGCGCCAAGCTGCTGTGCGAGTAGCTCCGTGATCGCTGAAATTCCTGCGTGAGCGATTTGATTTGATTTGATTAAGTCCTACACGGTTGCAGCCGCGAAAAGCAGCTATGCCCGGCTGGCAGGCTTGGCAAAGAGCCGACGCGGTGCGGACGTTGATCCGCGCCGCTCCACTTCATCCCTCGAAGGACCATCTCTCTTCAGAGGCCTGCCGTTTCCCTCTCATCACTATCTACACGTGGCTGCCAACTTTATCTAGATAATGACTCTACTAACTGAACACTGTACTTCTAGGCTCGTAGAGGCACGGTTGCCTCGTGTTCTGCGTCTGCAATACCTTCAGTCTCCCCCCAGCGCTCGGCTGTCGTCTGCGCGCCTGCGATCCCCATTTTGCCCAAGGATCTGCGTCTGCTCTACATACTGGATGGCTTTGGTGGCTAGCTGTGGCGTGCTTAGGATGGTCCGGATATTGTCTCGTCCGGACAGGTTAGTGAAGATACGGTCCCGGAGATGCCTGCGCTTGCTGCAGTGGAGAAGGATATGTGCGACGGTCTGCCGTCTCGCTCCGCAGTCGCAGCGCGGGCTGGTGATGTCTGGCACTCTTCGGGTGAAGAGAAAGTCGTTGAGTCCGATCTTCTCTGTCCGCAGCTGCACCAGCAGCGCGCTCTCCCGCTTAGTGAGCCCCTCGTGGAGCCGGAGTACTCTCTTGGTGGGCGTGTCTGTAGGTTGCTCGGCCCTTGGTGTCCTTGCACCACTTTGCTATCCATGCCCGTTCGGCTTGTATGCTGCACCATCTTTTCACAGTCGACCTTATAGTGAACAGCTGGGGAGGCGCGTCTGCCGGCAAGCTTCTGCGGCCGTCTTCTCTCCATCCGGTGGCTTCCTTGGCCGCTTTGTCGACGGCCTCGTTTCCGGGTATGCCGACGTGGGCCGGTATCCATCGGACGGTCACTGTTCGTCCGTTGTCCTGGAGCTCCTGGACCTGTCGCGCCATGTCCGCGAGGATGTAGGCGCCTGATCGTCCCTCAGCCTTAGCGATGGACCAGACGGCGGCCTGGTTGTCTGTGTATATGGCGACGTCTTGTCGCGCACCGTTCCGGCTCGCATACTCTTGAGCGATCTGCAGTGCTAAGCTGATGCCTTGTAGCTCTGCTGCATATACCGTCGACTCTGTGTCTGAACCCATGTGTACAGATCGCGCCTGTTGTTCCTGCGTGAGCGCCTTCTCGTCGTAAGCTGTCGCACGGTTGGGTGCGGGTATTATAGACAGAATAGTTAGAAGAGAGTGTATGTATTGTATTGTTTCTAACATCCTAGCTCAGCTTATATGGAGGTCATCGCACGGCGTTATTAGTAATAAAGTTCATGTTCCCGACAGCGCTTGGCCTGCGAAAAGGAAGCATACCGTGTCTGTTCGCCTCACGAGCCAGTTCGCGTTACGAGCCACATTTTACATACAAATCTCTAATGGTTACATAGCTAACTTATTAATGATAGAGCATAATGATGGCAGGTGGACTGATGGGAAACCTTGCACCTGATGAAGCACATGGTCGACGTTGATGACGAGCTCGGAAAAGCGTCCAATGATTGGGGAATCGCGCCTGCTTGGAGATTCGGGCGGCGCGTTTTGTCCGCACGCTTTTGGTCGTGGAAATCGTGTTGCCGGTAGCCGAGCGCTGCGATCTCGAGATATTTTCGAGCGTACTTACGCCCGCGTATTCGCCGAATTCACATCACCTTCTCTTCTGCCACAGGGCGGAATTTTCTCCATAGCAAGTTTCGTGGGCCACGGTCACGGTCCGCTCGTTGGTCGACTCCGCGCTCTCGTTTTCTTCAGTCCTCCGCTAGATGAGCCCAGTCCTTGTACGGTTGGCGCCCTGCAAGAAGTCAAGCATCCCTGCACATCGAACTAATGTAATCCAACGTACGTGCGCCGATTGATGATGTGTAAGAAGACAGGGGTATTTAGCTGCCCAGAGTCGGCGGATTTCATAATTACAGTTTCATTACTGAGCTTTTGCACCTAATAGGCATAAGGTTAACGCCGAACGTCCGCCTTGACTATCCTCTGACATCAAAAGATATAATGCTTTGTTACCCACAGAAGGTTACGACCTTATTCAGGGCTTAATTTCCACTTCCACTTCTCGATACAAGTGTGCTTGAATACTCTACTCCACCATCAAGACATCTTATCGACTACAACATTGACTCGTAATTTAAACCAGCCACACCATTCACGTCTTATAATATCGATCCCACTTCAGTCGAACGCCATGTCGCCTCGTAGGTCGGATTTAATGGAGGCACAGGACAACATTAGAAAGCGAGTGTGCAAAGCCTGTGACCGATGTCGCTTGAAGAAGTCAAAAGTATGTATGATCTGTACTGTGTTTTGGATGTTTCTAACCATATTAGTGCGACGGATCAAGTCCTTGCACTCGATGCAAAGCTGACAATGCTATTTGTGTATTTGGCGAGAGAAAGAAGTCACAAGACAAAGTATACCCGAAAGGGCATGTTACACATTGCTCTTTTAGTAGCCTGCGATCTAACAAACGTAGATATGTTGAGATGCTGGAACAGCAACAAACACAACTAGTAGCTGGTCTTCGAGAACTCTACAATCGCTTACAGAGGGGCGAGAGTTGGCCTGGACAGCCGTTGCAGGAATCTTCAGGCGGCCATCCATTAACACACGACATTCTGGAACGCCTTGATCTTCTACACTCGTCCGGAGATGACAAGAACCATTACGAGGGCTTCGAAGAAGACACCCATCGCATGCGACAAAGACTGCTTGAAGGAGGCGCACCCTATACCCGAAGACGGGCATCCGTTAGCTCAGACTCCGAACACGACCACGTTCCACCGAACTCATCGTATAACGGTACTCCGACCACCAAATCGTTTGCTTTCGACAGCCCATTTGCATGCCACAACGCGCCGCCAACACCGCCGATGAACAGTCTATTTCCCCGACAGTCTCAAGTGGTTTCGCCAGTCAAGCAAGAAGTACCAATAGTGCAAGCGCCCTTTATGAGCACCACTGCTATGGATCCGTCGACACTGTCTCGGGCGCCATGGATGAACGACACAATGATAATGAAAGACCCAGTGGACTTCAGCAAGCCCAAGTACGGATTCGACAACTTCGGCGCCTACGATCAGAACATGATGGTAGATCCGATTTCGATAAGTCAAAGCGATCCAATGATGCCAGACTGGAACATTCATAGCGACCTGGATTTCAGCAGTTTCATACAAAATTCCGTTGGCGCATGACTATTGGTCCAGACTTAACTCCGCTTCTTCCTCCGTCTTTTTGTTTAGCGTTCAAGCGTTCTGGGATACTTTCCAATCCTATACGGCTTTCGTATCGGTCATGGCAATCGGCGTTAGTCGGCCGGCTTCCAATGAACTTCTGGCGATTTTCCTTTATCTTCAATCGATGTTTCAACGGTTCACAATGACGTGAACTATCCCGCAAGGCGTAGTTGCGACGAATCTCCGCGGATCGGCAACTTCGAATAGAGCCTCCGGTCTGAATTACCGACCAGCGGGGCAACCGGATTGGTGGTGTAACTGTAAATCTCAATTGTATCATAGTCGAAGATGTCGTTAATCACCATGCTTGCGGGTTTCAGTGTGCGCGCTTTGACTTTCGATTACTAATGCAGCCTCCCGACCCACGCCCCCATCGCATTCATCCGCACTGCCACATGTTCATCAGACGAAGCAAACCAAGTCTTCATACGGTATGCCGTCGGACGCGTCGTTTGCGTACTCGCAAATGAACACTTCAGCCGTACTTCACGTGGTGACGACGGCAGAAAGGATGTCCACGAGTGCTCCACATCCTCATTAGGCTAATCAATCGCCGCATACGTACCTAAGGTCTGCGGTGCGCACTCACTCCTACGCTGGTCAATGGGTAGGGGTTGGGTATACCCAACAAAATATTCTAGGTGGGTTAGCTAATATCTCCGCGAATAACTATCGTATTAAGACAATTAATAGCTCATTCTAATGCGAGAAGTAAGTTCTACAACTCTATAATATATTTTAATTGTCTTACTATCTTATTTAAGAGCTTACTAAGCAACCCACCTAAATTATTAAGATATAATTTTGTGAGTTAGCTTATAATTTGAGCTGCGTTATGAATAGAAAGAAACTTATATTACAAAGTTGTAGAGCTTACTTCTAGCATCGAAATAAGCTATTAAACGTCTTGATAAGATAGTTATTCGCGGAGATATTGTTATTGGCGGAAAGAGGCCTGCTAACGAGTATGCATTTGCTCCTATGTACAGAAGAAGAAGGATAAAGAAAAGAAGAGTGGTGTTCTTCTCGTACGGTATTTATCCTCCGTACGCTAATACAAAGATAGACAAGTGGGAAGTTCTTCGGCGTAGCCTCTTGCGGTACTTAGGCGTAGCCCCTTTGTCAGATGAAGTAAGCGATACTGCATCGTGGACGGTATCACCTATGTATCACCTAGGTATCACCGACGTATCAGGTTTATGTTCAGAAAGGAGAGAGAACAGACCAACGAAAAACAACAATGATCAAGACATAATCCATCATCGCAATCATAAACTTCTCCTGAGCTCATTTTCAGCATTTTCATCTGACACCCTTACACTATAGAGCGTTTAGGTGTTAAGGGAACCACGGTAGTTACCGTGATAGTATCCAACGAAATCATCTGCCTACTTACGCCTCCACCAGATCACCAGTAGTCCTTTTACTATGCAGGTACTTATAGTCCTCCATCGCATCGTTTACAAACCGTGCTAAGTCCTCCGCATCCTCTTCCCCAAACTCCTGTACCCACTTCTCCCTTTCTTCCTCTAGACTCTTCCCCTTAGCCTCGAGACCAGGTTTAATGCCCCTTGACGCACTAATCGTGCCTAAAAACCTCGCTTGCCGCGGGGTCTCTATTTTTCTCTCGTCCCATTCATACTGCACGTTATCTGCATGCAAACCTGTCTGCTCACACAATTGGCGCTCAGCAGCAGGGTTTAACATAATGTCGTCAGCGTCAATAACGCGCGGCATGATATCAGCACTCGCACCGTGTTCTAAGTACCAATCGTACAGCGCGCGGGAGTGCCGGAGGTTCAAAAAGATGCGGCAGTAGGGCGAGCTAGGATGGGGATCAGGCCTCCAGCCTTTTTGCGTGCGTAGCATCGAGGGGAACATCAGTATAGGGTGCCGGATAATAAAGATAGGTTGTAGAGAGAGGAGGAAGCTATCAGGGACCGAAGTAGGGTTTGTGTAAATAGTATTTGCATCGTGAGGTTCGTTGCGTCGATAGACGGTAAGGAGAGGGGGGTTGTCTCCAGGGTAGGCTGATGAGGAGATTTTGTCGGGCGCGGAGAGGAAGAGGGTGTGTTCTTTTATGAAGGCTTGCTTGCCCTGTTTGTTGGTTGTTAGTTGGCTTTGTTATATGTTGGGGTTGGAATCGTGATGGTGCGGATGTGGCACGGTCTACATGGCCTGTACCCCACAACTCTCCGACCTCAACTTTTCTTCTTCCTTCCACTGCTTCTCTCGTCTTTGATTCATAGGCAAGTAACTTACGTTTTTCGCACAATCATCCAACTCATCCTCTAACTTGCCAAATGCCGTACGGAACATCTCATACAGCTTCTCCCGCTCTTCCTCTAACATCTCACTTACTTTCCCCTGTTCAAGTTGCGCCAAGGTAGCAAAACCAGCGTCAAAGAGCTTATAGCCCGAGTTTTGATACCCGGGTTGCTTAGACATCATGGTTTGGAAGAGGTTGGATGCTGAGCGAGGATGCGTGAGGAAGTAAATTCCGCGACGTGAAGGTGCATCGCCATTAGGCTGCGGGGTCTGGATTGTGCCTGCCATGATCAATCGAAAGACTATAGATCCCTAACACTAGTAAAGAAGAAGGAGCAGGAAAAGAGGAGCATATTATAAACACTCATGTGCCCGTGGAATAAGTCTATTCTTGTCCTTTAAATACTGTTGGACCAAAGATTATTATTCACACATCTTGGCGAATCCATACTCCGCAAACGCTCTAGCCGTCTCACGTGCCTACACAGTGGTGAGCTACAGTACTCCTAACCTTAGCTCCCAACGCCCCCCGGGAAAGCGAGGTAAATAGAGCGCTGCGATAGATACGCGCTAGACTGTCATTACTGTCAAGGGCATGATCCACTCGGCGTTACACGCAATGCTGCAACAGCCCCACACAACCAGGGTAACGTGACTATAATCGCTCACGTTAACCGCCGACGGCCCGACGATAACGGCCCGATGATACACTGTCGCACAGTTAGGTGCGCGTGTTATGGATAGGAAGATTAGAAGAGTGTTACAATGTTTCAACGACACAGGGCCACCCGAGAGGATGCCCTTGATTTAAGTGGCATCAAGCGAATTTTGGTAGTAGCGGTAACAAACGAAGAGTTGAATTAAGGGAGTAAGATCAAGCGAGTTATGGTTAGCTATCTGATGTAGAATAAAAGACTCTGAAGAAACCATTTCTTGCAGAACGACCGTGCGATTTCAACGGTGCGCTCGGTTTCTTGATAGCTCCTCTTGTTGTTACGACATTTAGGTGTGAAGGTAGAAGAGAAGTTGTAAGTAGATGGTGTGTATTGTGTGTATTGTTTTTGATCACCGAGAGGTCTGTGATCTAAGCTTATATACATAGAGTAGTGGGCTGATTGGTCGCTGGATAATCCACGTGACCATGCAAGGTACCTTGGGCTTACAGAAGTTTTAGTGTGTCATGGATCGAACCCACGACCTCCGAGCGATCACGTGATCACGCCAGACTGAGCGAGCACACTAAGCTAGGCGAGGTAGTCTGTGCGAGGTAGTCTGTGCGAGAACATCAAAGTCTCCGCGTACCGTGTAACTAGACCTGTACGCTGTAAGGGGCTACGCTCAGGGAGCTATCGCACAGGTATACTGGAGTTGTATTCGTTAGAGAAGAGAACTACGGACTGCTAGGGTGCTGAAGGTTAATCGGTGGCAGCTCGGATTAACCTTCGGCCGGGGTTTAGGGGTTTGGCCTGAGCGTCGTTCAGACGCGTACCGTCGCGCGCCGTGCGCTTGCGCACGTGACCGAGATATCATCGAGGATTCACGAACTGGGCTCCAGCCCATCACAAGCTCGAAGAGCTTACGACGGGACGCGTTCGCGCAGGAATTTCAGTGTTGCAGAATCCAGGTGCGCTAGTCCACACCCGGATTCTGTGCAGCCAATCAGCGTAGGCGCCACTCTTGGCGTTTCTCACGAGCCAGCGCCGTGACACCTATAGGGATAGATTTAATCCTAGTGTTCCTTGTCCTAGCACTTCTATATGCCTTGTAGCGGACTTACACTATTTAAAGACCTCCTCTAATCCTGTGTTATTACAATAGTGGTAAAGATAAAACGGGCGTTGCGTGTCTGTACACGGTACGTGGTGATTCGTTGAAGCTTGTGGCGTTCCTGAAAAGGCGGGCCTTGAGTCGCTCCGGGTGTTGCGCGCACTAAATTCCCGACTCGAAGTCCGCGGACACTCTTTCAGCGGGCCTGCCAAGTCAGCATAACCTAACTAGTGCTTCAATACGTGGAGGTCTAAACCACAACTAGGACACAGGACTGTACATATCCAAATGCACCATCGTCATGATTACTCTTTACACTTCAATCCCTGTTTGACCATGTAAGGAAGTACAGGTTTACAACCGATGAAAGTCCGCAGCGGGCCTTTTATGACTACAGCAAAAGTATTAATACGTTTGCCCTTAAGTTCCCCTTCTGGTTTCCGTAGATATTCCCTACTTTGAACTTGCGTTGAAAAATCATCATGTCCGACCTTCAATTTTACTGCAGCGCCATTCTGATCGTCTTTATTGGTTGGCGCCTTAAACCGTTTGTTCTAACGTTAACATCATCAACACGCAACGTGCCCGGCCCAATTCTGGCACGTTTCACCCGGCTATGGGAACTTCATCTGCTTTTCAAAGACGATTTTGCAACTGCTAATATTGCTCTACACAAGAAATATGGTAAGAACATTGAAAAAATCGTTTAAAGCTTATACTCATCCTTACAGGCTCTATTGTTCGGCTCGCACCGAATCGATTCAGCATCGCCGATGGCGAAGCAGCTAAAGTTGTACTGGGTCATGCCGGTGCATTAGATAAGTCGAACTACTACAACGCGTTTGGACCGCCCTTCAAAACCAATATGTTCACCGAGACCCAAATTTCTGTCCATGGAAAAATGCGACGTCCTGTCGCCCAATTGTACTCAAATACGAACCTGTTGTCGTTCGAGCCGTTCGTAAACACATGCAACAAGATCCTGACCAATCGACTAAAGGAACACGCGAGACTAGGTCATCGATTCGATGTGAGGGAGCTCATGCAATTCTATGCATTCGATGTGATCGGCGAAATAACCATGGGCTCAAGATTTGGTCTTATGGAAGATGATTGTGACAAAACCGGTGTCATCAGCGCTCTCGACGAGCAGATCTTTCACGGATCTACTGTTGGGCTTTTTCCCGAGATACACCGGATCATGGGGTACGCGATGGGCTTTCTGAAGCTAGAACCAGCATTTAAAACGGTTCTGGATTTCGTGATCCTCAACATACAAAACCGTGCTTCAGGAAAGACAAAGTCACCAGGAGACCGACAGGACTTTGTTGACAAGCTATTACAGCTCGAGCGGGATGGAAAGGCAACCAGATTTGACACAATAGATGCCTGCGCTGCGAACGTCGTAGCAGGTTCCGATACAACTGCGATTTCGTTGACCGCTATTTTCGCCAATCTCTCCATGCATCCCGCCATACTTGCCAGGTTGCGACGAGAACTCGACGACGCTACAAAAGCTGGCACGATATCGGACCCTGTTTCATTCAAAGAAGCGCGGGAATTACCGTATCTCCATGCTGTCATGTATGAATCACTCCGCGTACATCCAGCAATCGCCGCACCTTTGGTACGCATCGTCGGCAAGAATGGTGCGCAGTTGGCAGGCCAATACTTTCCACCCGGCTCGGAAGTCGGTGTCAATTCCTGGGTCATACATCACAACGAAGATATTTTTGGGCCAGATGCTTCTCAGTTCAAGCCAGAGCGTTGGCTTACTGAGGATGCCAAGCAGCGTTCTTTCATGGAGCGAAATTTCCTTACTTTCGGAGCTGGACCGCGCACCTGCATCGGTAAGAACGTCAGCTTGTTGGAAATGTACAAGGTTATTCCACAAATTGTAAGGAAGTTCGATTTTGTAGCTGACGAAGGTGGCTCGGCTTATCAGTGGAGGACATTTTGGTTTGCGAAGCAAGACTTCAAATGTGTAGTACGAGAGCGTGTTGAATGAGTCAACCTGAGTGTTTTGTAGTAATCAGCAAGTAGCCTCACGGGATTTTCGTATGCAAATGTTTACCACTGCTTAGTCTTAGTATTGCGTTGTCAACTCGACAGGAATTGATCCGAAAATCTCAGAACCACTTTATACGGTGGACGGCACCCAGTGCGAAGATGAAACCGTCGTAGAGCAGCGATCGTGCCATCATTACTCTACAAGTCTCTTCTTGTGCAAGGGACTGCCCTGATTTGTCCGCTTCGATAGTAGCGCTACTAAACTTGATGTGTACGTTATTAGAAATATATTAAGCTAGTGTCAAACAATATGGCCTGATAAGATACTGGATGCACTGAATTGGTAGAGGTACAAGTATATGGCGTTGTTAGACTAGAGACGAACCGCTATCGAGCCACGATAGCGTTCTAGCAGGCTATATACCTTGATTACTTGGCGTCACGGCCCGGATGAGCCCGGAATGGCCCAGGGCCTGACAGTTACATTTTGAGTCTGTTTAGTGGTAAAATCACATACAATCGTTGTAGAAATACTTAGATAGAGGTATCGTTAACGTATGTCGCAAGCGAGCGACGCACCCCACCAAGTTTGCGCACCTCTCTCATCTCAACGTACAATGGCTCAACGCAACGCTACTCTGTCAGCTTTAAATGAAGCTGGTATCCAGCGAGCTATCTCATTTAATATGTCTCATCAAATACAGAGCAATCATAGTGCTGCTACTATTATCGTTGCGGAAACATATGGACTCCCTTCCCCCTTGTTAAATCACGTGAATATCCCAGTCGATTACCAGTAGTAATTGTCACCAAAAAGCAGAGTGAATGTTCACGATTGGTCATAGTTAGGGTATAGTAGCATGTAGGGCTTCAAGTAGACGTTTTGGAGACTTTTTAGAGACCTGTATGGGTGAATATAGTGTAGTGGTGAGCTTTTGGGAGGTGGTAGAGCGTATTAGTGGGCGTTTAGGAGGTTGTAACAGGTGTAAGATACCTTAGGGGTAGGGGTAGGTAGAGGCGGGGTGGTGAAGGTTTGGGACGGCGTGTAAGCTTACAGGGGTTCTTGATAAGATAATCGGTCCTAAAGCAGCGTACTGGGGTGAATCTAGGGCATGTAGGAGTCTCTAGATGTGCTGGAGACATGGGAGGAAAGCTAAATTGCTGGGTATATACTGTTTTGCAGTACCCACCCACATTTCTTAGTATCCATCTACATTCTACCTGCTCTTTCTCTCCCTACAGCAGCGACGAGGCGTTAATCGAAGTCGATCTCGGCAGCGGTGAAGGTGTGGGATCAATTTGAATCATCAGGGAGACGAATTACGCTTATATATAATAGTCAATATGCCCGCTACGTTGTCGCGGCGTCGTACACTTACCTAGAAAGCTCGTGAGGAGCAGGAAAGACGTCAGAAGCGTAATGAGAGACGTCGTAGGATCATGGAGATCTCTGATATAAGCAGTGAACGTTCAGCGACGCCCTCTACTCCTTTACAGCCGTATCCGAACCTCTCCCAGCTAGGTGCTAGAGCTTAGCTAGTAGATGAAGACAGCGGAAGCGATACTGTAGCTGATGAGGAAATCCACGACGACGATAACCGGCAAGACTTAGCTCTTAGCAGCTTTTCTGGAGGTATCTTTGTCGGAGATCGCTTAAGCCTAGCTATACAGGACGCCTAGAACGCTCCTAGAGTGAATTACATGAGTTGTTGGCGTGTATTTACTGGAAGGGAGGCTCTCGGCCGCCAGGAGACTTCAGCGCAGCACTCTAAGAAGGTTACCTTAGCCACTATTATAAGCTGGGCAGAAGCTCGAATCGCGGAGCAGCTACCACTGGTGTATACGATTACGAGACTTACCGCATCGATATACTTCCAGAAGCAACAAAAGCAATCGTACTGGGTACAATCTCTTAGCAAAGGAGACAACCATGCGTTTAACTAGTTCCTGGAGCTTCTGCACAAGAAGAGAGAGGAGAGAGACTGAGCTAGGGGATCTCCAAAGGCGATATGGGTTGACTTTGACCTGCACGTAGAGCTAGCAGACCGCAGCTTCGGCGTAGGGCGTTAAGGTAATCTCTTTGGTACTGGCCGCAACCTAACTGAGCGTCAGCTGCTTTAATTACTAACTACTGCAGCTGAGCTTCTTGCTATAGAAGGGCAGGTTACAGAGGTAATTGCGATGTGGAGATGTGAGCATTAGGGCTGTTTGAATTACCCCTATACTTGCTGGGTTGCTGGTCTTAAACCCGATGAAAGAGGCCCTGGAAGAGTAGAGAACCATTACCCAGTACCCAAAGGAGTACTTAATATATGGAATCGGGAGATTCGAAGAGGTGTTTCTACAGCACAAGACCCGTTAGAGAACCTTAGGACTCTCCTCTGTTAAGAGAGAGAGCGTTGAAGAAGTGGAAGGAGAGATAATAACAACAACACGGAGATCCTAAGTGAAGTAAGTTCAACATTAAGAGAGCTTGCGAGACTCTACGGCGCTAAAGCCTAGGCAGACCTTGCTGCCGCTGCTCTACTAGCTGAATACGTACCATTTGGAGGCTCTCATTTCCCTCTTCGCGTTGCCCAGGCCTTCTTCTAGTGGTGGTACGACTGTGAGGAGAAGGAGGATATTAAAGACCGTATCGCTTTGATTGGAAACCGAGCTGTAGAGGAGAAGATCTTAGTTGACGACCTCCGTGGGTTAACTGTGAGGGACTGGAATCGCAAGTTCTAGCAACCCCTGGCGTGTCTCCTTCGAATGAGGCAGTAATTAGAGGTCTTTGTTAAGGAACCGCTGTGGGAGACGTATATAAACGATGCTAGAGGCTGGGATTATAGTGTATTTGAGCCTGAGGTGTTAGAGCAGCTTGCCCAGGAAGCTAGTCTCTTTATTTTAGACTTAACATAAGGTTTAGGGGCTTTTCTCGCAAAATAGCGTTAGTTTTACGCATTCTACTTATGCAAATCTTGAGATTTTAGTCCTAGATTTAAGGCGCTAAGTAATAACATATTCCTTGTAAAGAATCTTAACTTTAGAAGCGATTAGATACTGTTAAGGGGTCGAAGTACCCGCTGAGGCGTTAGTTTGCAACCCTTATTTTATGCCTTTCTTTTTGTTTCTGCCTCTAGAATTAGTATATAGCATACGCTAAACAAGATCCCTGTCTTAGAATTATATATTTGTATGTAGTTGTAGAGATGTATGCCGTCGCAGAGGTAAACTTGTAGGAAGCCTAATGCAGGGTGTCACGGGGTCGGCAGGCAGGGAAGATAGGTGCACGTGATCAGTATATTCACTACGATATCGCTGACAGTACGGGGTTAGGCTAAGACAAGGACGTAGCTTAAGGAGCGTACGACAGGGCGCGTTCGCACAGGAATTTTAGCGATTGCGCAGCTGCTCGCTTAGCAGCTTGGCGCGCTCTAATAGGCTATCTAGGTTAGCGCCGTGACACAGGGGCTCCTTGCCGCTCTTCTCTTAATCCTTACTGTAGCTCTACTATTACGCTGTATATATTAAAACCGAGTTGAAGTGTTGTAGATTTAGGTATAGCGAAAAAGATAGCGCTGTTAGATATACAGGGTTCAACGTGGTTGTAGAGGTATAGGCCGTCGGGCAGGTGAATTAGGTGGCTTGGATGGTTGCGGAGTTTCTTAGGGGTCTTGGCGCGGAGTCGCAATGACGAGGTTACAGCTAGCTTAACGCTTAGGCCTACGATGGCGTTCGGCCTAGCTGCTCTAAATACCCCTCTGTTTTTCTCTATAACTTTACGACCACGCAATTTTTTTTTAATTCTAAGAGCAGGAGCTTTCTTAGCAGGTACGATTTAATTAGCTCTACCTCTTAAACACAAATATCTGCTGTAGTAAAGGTACAGAATTAAGCACTGCAGGGCAGAACTTTTAAACTTTAGGAGGCAATCATCCGGCTTACCCATCCCCCTCCTTTTGGTACCTACAACGCTTATACATGCCAGAAAAGTTAGTATTAACGCAGCAGCGGTATATACCGTACTCTAGAAACTCCTTAAGGCTCTTAAACGACTCTATAATGCCGTAGTTCCTCCGTACCTAGCTCTTTAGTACCCGAAAAGACTGCTTAATAGGGTTGTAATCGGGTGAGTAAGGAGGCAACAGGACAAGTCGAACGCCTGCTGCATTACAGAGAGCGTGTACTCGAGGAGACCGGTGGCTTGAAGCGTTGTCTATAATAATAATTGATCGCGGGCTAGGCCAGGGGTTGCACAAAGGGAGAACTTGGTGCTCTATGAACGCTTTAAAGAGCTGCTTTGTTAGCCCTCCCTGCAGTATTTCCCACGCAAAGTAACCATTCACGTCTATTGCTGGTATCACCGAAACTCTCCTTGTTCGATTGCTAAAGTATGGAGCAATTGCGGCAGTTCCTAAGGGCGCCTAGGCTCTTTTCTTGTTAGCAGTTCGCTTATTTGCTGCACTCTCATTAAGTGCTACAATCTAAATAGGATCCCATCCTCTCGTTGATAGGTAGAAAACCTCTCGTAGCAGCTCATTACGATCCTTGGTGTGCTTTGAAGCTACTTTTCGACTCTATTGGGCCCGGCAGAGGTAATTAAAGACGGTACGCTCGGCGATAACAAGGTTGTACTCGTCGAATAGGAACTCAACTATCTCGTCCAAATAGGCCGTCGGCTTCTTACGGAGGTACTCTAGCAGGGCCTATCTTGTAGCATTAGTACGCTGGTTTGCAGTCGTCGTCTCTCCTCATACATTCTCCTAAGCCTTCACCATCAATCGAGGCCTCCCTTGAACGGTTGAATCAGGAGGATAAGGGCTTCCGTATAGGTCAAGACTGAGCTCAATACGCTTCACTGTATTGCGGCCAACACTACGGTTTCTAGCGATCCATTTGAATGGACGTTGATAAGAAAGATCAAGGAGAACAGTCTGCAAAAGGCCTGCTTTAAGCTTTCGACCTATAACAAGAGGTTTACAAGTGAACAAGATGTAATTTACAGCTCAAAATCCCGATCCTTGGCCTCTATATACCCCTATACTACTCTAATACTAATCCCAGAACGTCACCTTAACGATCTCTCCCAGATCCGGGGGGGTCCATATGTTTTCGCAGGCACCGATACCTGTAGTGTGTCTGAACGAACGATTCGGCGCCGACGCGCCGGTATACCTGCTCGACGCGATTGCCTGCCTAACTTAAAGAAGCTCAGCCTGCTAGAAGAGGAGGTAATCGTAAGCTATATACTAGACTTAGATCAACGTGGATTTGCCCCTACGTACGCAGCTGTACGTCATATGGCTGATAAGCTGCTAGCTGCGCGCGGCGCCGGCCAGGTTGGACAGAAGTGGCCGACCAACTTCGTCAGGCGTACAGACAGTCTTACAACGCGGTTCAATCAAGCATATGACCGGCAGAGGGCTCTATGCGAGGATCCCGTATTAACTAGGAGCTGGTTCGAGCTTGTAGCCCAGACAGAGGCTAAGTACGGTATCTGCGATGAGGACGTCTAGTGTGCGCCATGGAGGGATCTCCTTGGCCTCCCTCCTTACTCCCTCCTTCCTTGGCCTCCATAGAGCTCCGCCGGAGTTGACGGAGTTGCTAAGCTTTTATCCTACACTCACACTGATTATATGAGGCGTAGGTTAGAGCATGGCGCAAAGCTTAACCTCACCGCTGCTATCAAAACACGGGAAACACGGGCTATGGTGTTGTTAGAGGAGGTGAACAATATATTGTATATATACTACTTAATCTATCGTTCTTCTATCATATCCACCTTTAGGGTGTATAGCTTAGTGGTAGAGCGCTGTCAGGTTAATTATTCTGACGAGGAGAACGATGTAAATCAAGGCTTTCAATCAGTAAGTGGTTTAAATAATGTAGACAGATATCGAAGGAGTGAGATAGATTGGATTAATAGTAGGTTCTCGGCGCGTTCTATGCTACTCTCCCTCATCGCTATCGTCCTACAACCCCTCGCTGCTGGTACTGCTACTTGATGCGTATTGTACTTCTGCTATCTCGTTACCGCGTACTGCGTTACTACGGTGTTTAGCAAGGGTTATAATGCCAAGCTTGCCCTAGTGTGTAAGGCATAGCATAGCTTCTAGAGTCTCTTCGCGGAGTCGATGTCGTCTAGAGTTTAGTATAAAACCAGCAGAGCTAAAGATACGCTCTGCCTCCGCGCTTATTGCTGGGATAGACAGCATGTCGATTGCTATGTGAGCAAGAGAAGGGTACTTAGCGCGAACAGCTGAGCGGAGCCAGTATTGAAAGGAGACGAGATCGTCGTTAGTCTCGAGCTTAGCCTTAAGGTACAGCGTTAGCTCATTACTAATCTTTTGCGGGTAGGGTAGACGACGTTGCTGTTTGATAAGCTCGTTAATATTGCTGTACTTCATCCGCTTACGGGGCCGCTCGTTACGATCGCATTCGCTTAGGGGTTGGCGCAGCTCACTGTCCTAGGACAAAGGAAGGGAGCTTTGGCGTGAGCTATAAAAGTCGACAGGAGAGTTGTTAGGCCTGTAGTCTTGCTCCCATAGTCTCCTAACTGCCTCTACGCCACATTTGGCGTCTTGCGGACCCTATTCTTTTGCTAAGTACTGATACTTTAGGCGCGGATCTAGCAGCAAAGCAGCAGTGAACACAGGGGTTTCGTCGAGTATATTGTAATAGTCTGTTGCCTTGCTCTAAGCTTGTTCGATTGCTACCCAAAAGGCGGAGTCCTTCTGGCTCTTAGCATACTCAACCTTGAGCTTCTTAAGCTGGCGGAGGATAAGGGAGAGGACGTCGTACACGTCAGCGATACCGGTAGCAGACTCCTCACTCGGGCGACCTTCGAGCTTCTTTGTGCACGCTTTAATCGGGTCGAGGATAGCGAGGAGCTCCTGGAGAATAGCCTATTCATCGGATGACATGCGCTGGTCGAAGATAGCGCGAGTAACTGATTCCGATAGGCGTTCATTGATCGGTTTCTTGTCGCCGCGACGCACGAGGTGCATATAAGTGGCCATATCAAGGTTAAGAAAGTGTTTAATAGAGTTGCGGAGCTGTACTGCTCGATGGATCATATCTCTTGTTAAATTCCACCTGGTGAACATTAGTTCAGTGTTCTACATAGCTGATATAGCTACCGTCTTATGTCAAAGTGCCAAAACAAAGTAATTGTACACGTGTCTCTCCGCAACTACAACAAAAGAAAGAGATAGGAACGTACCGGGTTACATTATTCATTTTAAGCCGTAGCGGAGGAGGCTGTTGGTTGGATTCTGGGTTCTCCCTACGCCAGATCTCGCCCTGGGCATCCTCAAACCTCTTTACGCGCCCTGGTGATTTGTTTATCCATCGGACGATTGTTGCTACTATTCCAATCGGCCCTTGAGCTCGCCAAAGCTTCACCTCTTCTCGTAAGTTGGCTACACGCAGGGCTCGCAACGGATCAAATCAAAGCAATACTTGATTTGATTACATAAGCATTTGATTTGATTTGATATTGATTTGATTTGGATAACTTGATTTGAATTGATACCCCGCAGCGGGGTAGATAGACCCCGATTTCTTGTACTAGTAAGTTATCTCCTAGCTAGTGAATTGCTACGATACTTGTTGAATTAAACAAAACGCACTTGTGAACAATAGATATACTAATCGTACGCCAGTGACTCACAGCGTCTACAGTGATACATTACGATGAAATTTTATATACAAAAGCAGTTAATCAGAGTCCTCAGAATTAATGTCAGAGTATTCAGTTTCAGCAATGTTTGCTACCCGACGCTCTCGTACCACACCCTCCTGTATGAGAGACCTAAGAACCTAATTCCTCTCTAACGTAGACCCTAATAGTGAGCTCCTATTCGGTGTACACGTTTTTGAAGCCTCACTGAATCGACGCTCTAGGTCTGAACTCATTGCTGGTGCAGCAAAGATATCAAGCGCTACCTTATGCAGTGTAGGAAAGCGCTCCTTGTTATTGCGCCACCAAGTGATAAGATCTATTGGTTCCTTCACAACCTTGCGTTTGCCAGTAACTTTATCTATTACGATGCCATCACGCCGTGGTACCTTTAGTGTTGTGTAGTAACGGCAGCGCTCCTAATAGTGTAAACAGTATGCATACTATTAGTATTCGGCTTGCCTAATTAGGCTAGTTTCCGCTCTGATTTCCTTATGCGAATTTTCAAGCTGTAGATCAATTTGCTTGTTCCCTAGTCTGAGCGTGAGCCAAATACTAATAGTATACGAGTTTAGCACTATTGGGAGCCCTGGTTTCGCATGACCTGTAAGCACGCCCATACCAAATCTAGTCTGTTTTGCGACATCAAAACTGACTTGCCTTAGCGGATCTTTCTTCCTTTCCCGCTTCCACACCTACCAGTCCAAGTATCTATCAGCTCTTGCTATCTTAGACGTCGGCTACATCGCCCCCGGCTCAGATCTTAACGAAGCCAACGTTGAAGCTTACAATAATATCACACAGACCGTATTTGGATACCCTATTCTTGGGTACTGGTACTATCACAACCAACCAGTCGGTCACGTCCTTATGGATTCAAACGTAAGTTCAACATCGAAATCTAATATGCACACAAGCTCACAACAGTACAGTTAGATTCTGTGTACTCCCTCTTCTACACGTCTAACACGACGAATTGGGTGGAACACTACAACAAAGTCGGCGCGCTCCAAACGTGGCTAGCAGCAGATAGAAGAGCAGAATACGGCAACGAATTCATCACCAACGCAACCCGAGAGATTTGGAAATCCATCACTCGAGCACAGGAAGGTTTCGAGGCACCTCTAAGATGGTACAAAGCATTCTTACAGGGTATCAATTCGGCAGATGAAGATGGTAAGACAGATCCTAGATGCCCGCGTTTTACAGATCTAATACACCGTAGAGATTCGATCGACGTCAGGAATGATCGAGCAACCTGCTCTCTTTATCGCAGCGCAAAGGGATACAGTCGGCGTCCCAGCACTACAATTGAACATGACGCTGCCCTTCTCTCCTGCGCTGCAGATCAGAACTGTTGATGCTGGACACTTTGTTCACATTGAGAAAGCCGAAGAAGTTAATGAGGCACTGCATGAATTCTTCCAAAGCCTGTAACACGTTGTTGCAAAGCTATGGACACATATGGGCTGCTTGCTATTATAAACATCAGGATGCATATATTTGTAGATTGCCTTAATTTCTAGTGCAATCTCACTCTGAAGATAGCTATTTCTAGATTAGCTTTTCTAGTATTCAGACTTGTCAACAAACAAATCAAACAAACAAATTGTTTGATAACTGATCACAATTTGGTCCGTGACAGCGTGCAAGTACCGCAGAGAGGTCAGTTATCAAACAATTTGTTTGTTTGATTTGTTTGTTGACAAGTCTGCTAGTATTGGAAGAAATTGAGACTTTTTATCACTCTAATGACAAGGACTGTATGTAAATACTGCAAAGACGATTATGGTCTATTTGCTTGCGGATTCGTCGAACCTGCGCGTATAGCCGTCACAGAATGCTTCAAATTGGGTCACAACTCAAACTATGTCTGCGACACGATCCAAGAAGACTCGACATATCTAAAGGACCTCAAGAATACACCGGAATGTTCCAAACGAACGACAACGGCGATAATACGTATGCGGACGACGAGTTGTTCGACGCCCAGCCACACCTGTTCAACGATACCGACCTACAAACCAGATCCATGTCAAATATGTTCACCGACATAGCGACTCTGCTGTACAGTGCTGAAGGCCGAATCTGGCTTGGTGAATATTCGGTCGGGGAGCACCTGTGCTTGACTTGCCCCTCATCCAAGGAGAAGTACGTCGGCCAAGATGGTCTATCTGCCCACTTTCCACCAATGCCGAAGAGCTTCGAAGGCCAAGGTGTGAAGTGTTGAGCGCACGCGAAGTACTATACTGTGACGGAAATGGCACCAAAATCTAGCCTTCGCATGAGCTCTTCATGGCGACTTTGGTGACTTTGTCGCTAGTCTGTCCTGTTCTAGGTCAATGCGTTTGCCAATACGCTCTAGACAATGTGAGCTATTCAGTTTACAGTAGCGACTTCCGCCAAGAGATTATGCATCGTGCAAGCGATTGGCTACTCACAAAACTAGCTTCTGCTAGCTTACCGGCGGGAGCCTTCGACGTCGTGTTGACCAGTCGAGCTGACGACTGAAGTCGTACCTTCTGGATTATCTCACTATGCTTTGTAATTCCAACCCTAGTTTTGAACTTTGAAGCTATTATGTACGTACAGATCGACATGCAAATGAGGAAACATGCTTCCTGGTCATGTTAAATACGTTGTTCAACTCCATCATTCTTCTGTTTCATTCTCATGCTATTGCAAAAGTTCCTGTTTATCAAAGTTGCAGTATTCACAATTGCTGCCATGCCTCAGAAAACACTCCTCTTTCTCGGTGCAGGGCCAAACGTTGGGGCTTCAACACTGTCTCTTTTCAAAAGTGAAGGATACAAGATTGCTGCTGTTGCTCGCACAGTCAGACCGAATGTCAAAGCGCATGCAGACTTGTGTCTGACCGCTGATTTTAGCGATGCAGGCGTGATAGGGCCTATCTTCGAGAAGGTCGAGCAGGAATTAGGAGTGCCTAACGTTGTGATCTACAATCGTAAGTCTTGACTTCTCCACATGTAACCATGCAAGATGGCAACGCTAGTCATAATTCACTGCGCTTTGGTGCTGCAAGTACAAAGCGCAATGTGCAGGCCTTTTGTTATCATATTTACACGATATCAACAGCTCACTCCAATGCAGCTTATTCCTGGTCTAGAGGTCCCAACCTTGCAAACCCAGTCTCGGCACCACTCAAGGATTTCCAGAAAGATCTCGCAATCAACACTGTGAGCGCTTACGCTGCTGCTCAAGCCGCCGTAGCCAGTTTCAGTAAGCTCCCTCAAGATACAAAAAAGACCTTCATCTACACTGGGAACAATGGTAACACACTAGTGAGTCTCGAGAATATCTTCCCAAGAGTTGGAATATGCTTACATTCTTAGATCACGCCTGAGTTTCTCATGCTCGGGATCGGGAAATCTAGCGCTTGGTATATGATCCAGACGTTGGTTGCTACTCCTAGCTTTGCATCCAAGGGATACCGCTTCTACTACGTCGATGAGCGTACACCAGAAGGAAAGGCGATGTTTCATATTTCGGGACCTGGCCATGCAAGATATTTTCTGGAGCTAGCGGAGGAAGATGGGCAGGGAGTGCCATTAGCAACGTTTGTAAGGGGCAATGGCTACGTGAAGTTTCCGAGTAGTGATAGCGCAGTACTCCCGCGGCTCGCTGTTCAAGACACAGTGGATCCGAGCTATGGAGCACCAGGGACGATAGAAGGGAAGTTTGGCTATTGAATAAGTGGAGTTCATTTGAACTCAGGTACGGCATTACGATGCAGCCGCAACAATCATGAAAGTGACATAGTTGTACACTGAGTTGGCTAGTATACACTTGGATTTAGCCTCATTAATTACATATTCAACACACTTTTGTAACGCGCAGCAGGTACTTACAGCGAGCTCCTGAGATGTGAACCTAACGCACGTTCCACCATTTTGCTGAGATGATATATCATATGCTTATGATAGCATGTAGAAGTTATAGCCCGATGCATTGTATAAAGATGAAGACGAGATCATCAAGGAATGTCCTTTTGCCATGGCCGTAGTCGGGCCGATCCAGTTACTCCTTGGCGAATTTAGCTGCTCAAAAGAGACCAAGGCTAGCGGCAAACGTGCAAATCTGGGGAACAGTGCCCTAATTCTGCACTCGACGGCTTTGAAATTCGGAGCATGACTGGCCTTGCTAACACCGACACTACACCCGTCGCGATGTCAAAGTGTAAGCATAGGGTGGTAGTACTATATGGTCTCATGTATGAGTATACTGTTTTCTGTATGTACAAGTGTGTGATCTGAGCTCTTCAGTAGTCGGACGCGTTAGTCATGCTTGCAGAGCAGTTACGTGATGTGGTCCTAGGCTTACAGGGCTGCTTAACTAAGGAAGGGAGACCAGCTAATCGCCATACAAAGTCTTTCATTTTAAGCTTTCTCAATCAACCTATCGGTTTGCAATCAAGTTGATTGCTCCAAAATCTGCCGTCGATCAATTCAATCAAACAACAACCCCAGCAATTCCATCTCAACCCAATCCGACAGCGTCCAATTGTTTGAGTGAATTGTTGACATCTATCTTCCTATGTATCCTCTTGCCATAAACCACTCCTCAATGATGGCGTTGAATCTGGTTGAGTTGATCTGGAAGTGCCAGTGCCCGCCATCTAGTACCTCGACTCTGTCCCCTTCGGCCAACCCAACCTCATTCTCGAAATCAGCGTAGCTCTGCTCCGCAACCGTGACGAGCTTAGGGACACCTTTTCTCTCTACCCTGTACTCAATGCATGTACTCCACTGTCCTAAGAATTGAATAAGCTGCTCGAAGACAGCAGTGACAACATATCCCGGCATACCCCACGTCTTCCGCAGACGCCAGGCTCTTATCCATGCCGGTCTCTCGGCTACAGACGACTCCATTGCCTCAAACAATGAGGCGGCAACCTCAGGCGCTGTTGAGGCAGAAGAGTTCTTCAACGTTGCGACAATAAGCTCGCCCTGGGATATTGGGGTGTAGTACGCTGAATCGACAAGAACAAGAGCTCTAACCAGTTTTGAATGTCGAAAAGCGAGCTCAGATGCAACGACGCCGCCGAGGCTGTGTCCCATGATGATGGCCGCACCTCTTTTGCTACTGTTTCCTACATGGAGATATTCAAGCAGCGCGGCGGCGTCATCGGCAAGTGTTTCCGGATCGTACGAGTAGGGGCTCTCCTGTGAATCGATGGCTGGTACGGGTGTGGAGCTGCGTCCGTGGCCGCGCTGGTCGATAGTGATGACCTGGAAACCGTACTCCAGGAGAAATGGGATCTGGAAGATCCAGTCACTATGATCACAGGCCCAGCCGTGGATGAGAACGATGGGGTCACCGGTACCTTCAATGGTGTAGAAGAGGTTGACGCCGTTGTTATTGTAGTAAAATCCCCCTGTTTTGTTCCAGACTTCGGTCCTGTTCTCCATATTGCGGTCTGGCTCACACCTCTGGCCTATCGGGGTTTAGCTTAAGTAGATACATAGTTACCTGGGAAAACCAACTTACCTTCCTTAGTAATGGTTTTGTTTTGTTTTGCTGCGTATCGTTCAACAGTGCATGTTAGACTTTGCGATGCAAGCTTATCTGATGCAGAGGTAGCTATAATATTTGCAAGTGCGATAAGGCAGGCGAACGCAGTCTTCATGCTGGCAAGAGATTTAAAAGGGATGCATTTGAACAGCCTGGGCTCTAGATCTGGACAGTTTTTATGTATACATCGAGATTGCACACTCGGGTGCAGCTTACTAATCTGCAAACCTTAACAGCCGGCCAAACCACCGAGCTAGCTCTATTGTCTTGGCATGTCTGATATTTTGATATTCTTCGCAGAGCGTTGCGGTAAGTTGGGTGGGGTGCGCAGTTGACTGGTGTGCGCAGCTTATTGGTGGAACACGTTACCTTCATATAAGTTGAGTTAGGGGGCTAAAAACAATACAATATATACACTCTCTCCTAACTATGTTGTCTACAGTACCCGCACCCAACCGTGCGACAGCGTACTTTCCGGGTGTCGCGGGGTCGGCAGGCAAGGATGATAGGTGCACGTGATCGGTATATTAACTACATATAGCCGACATTACGAGGTCAGGCTGGAGTCAGACCAGGGACAGGACGTAGCTCAAGGAACTTCGGACGGGACGGCGGTTTGCAGACTTGTTGTACAGAATCCGGGTGTGGCTAGCGCCCCCGGAATCTGTGCGGCCAATCAGCGCGCAGCGCGACTCCTGGCGTTCCTCGCCAGCCAGCGCCGTGACACTATTAACGCTCTAACGAGGCAGTGCACAATGCACGTAGATATAAACAAAATACAGCGATATAATCTACACAGAATAGTTTGTTTCAACTTACGACTGCAGTCCCGCACGGCAGCATACGGTTGCAGATAGTCATACTTGGCATCTTGGCACGATACCTAGATATTCGGCATTATTACTCATTGAACTAATCCCTATTAAGCATCTATTTTCGCCAAGACGAATATGATCAAGCAGAATTGGCATGCTTAATAGATTGAATGTGTATGCCTTAATTTGTGATTAAGGGAGCAGACATGAATCCGATCCCTGTTCGTATACGTGCAGTAGTCGACCTGGTTGTATAATCACGGCCCAAACTGGTCCGAAGACCTAGTAATTTGCCCGTGAGGAACGCAATAGTACCTAGGTAGCGGTGTGTCTGTTTGTCCGCATCGTTGTCGGTGTTGTCGGTGTTGTCGGTGTCGGTGTCGGCTGTCAGAGATCTGGATTGTTAATTACAGACCATGATTTTTGCTTAAATGACTTAAATCCGCCTATTACCACGGTTCTTGTGTCATTCATCTTGTTCGTTATTCTCGCATCATTTCTCCGCCTCAAATCAGCCTGTGGCAGCAATTATGCGGCTCTTTAATCATACCCAGGGTGCGCTAGGACTCAGTGCCGCTCTGATTATTGCTAGCGTTGCCTCTGTTGCCGCCTTGCCCCAAGGATCAACTGATACCTACGACTACATTGTTGTAGGTAGTGGCCCAGGTGGTGGCCCATTGGCTGTCAACCTCGCCAAAGCCGGTTTCAGGACTCTGTTGCTAGAAGCTGGCGACGACGAGAGTGCCGATAGACGAACGCAAGCTCTCGCTCTTTCGGAAGTGCCCATTCCTGCAAACCTCGGCTGGTCATTCTGGGTTCGTCATTACGATGACGACGAGCAAACCAGGAGGTATCAGCGACTCACTTGGAGGCTTCCGAACGGAGACCTTTGGGTTGGTCCTGGTACTTCTGCACCGCCAGGCGCAGAAATGCTCGGTGTCCAATATCCTCGCGGTGCTACCTTGGGAGGTTCGACTCTGGTAAACGCAGGATTCAACATTCTTCCCAGTGAAAGAGATTGGAGTCAGATTGAAGCCCTTACTGGCGATTCTTCTTGGAAGTGAGTCACGACGAAACCTGATCCTTTTGAGAACAGATGTTCTGACAGAAACGCTAGTCCTGAACGAATGAGAGAGATATTTGTGAAGACGGAGAAGAATTTGTATCTTCCACGCGGAACGCCTGGACATGGATTCGATGGTTACCTACAATTGAATGAAGGAAATGGAACGGTATTCACTACCTCGCCTCAGTCGTCGGAAATATACAGATCTTTGGTGTCCGAGATCGGACAGGATCCTGATGAGCTGGAACAGCTCTTTGACACGGACCCCAATCAGCTACGCTCGGACAGGGACCAAACCGTTGGTCTCTTTGGAGGAGTTTTCCACGCCAACGGAACCTGGGGTCGCTACAGCGTAAGAGACCGTGTCCTCGATACTCTACGTGCTGTTGATTCTAGCGGAAGGAAAAAATACCCGCTGGAAGTTCGACTAAACTCTTTTGCCAGCAAAGTACTTTTCGAAGAATCCATCAACGGATCCGCTCCCCGAGCCATAGGCATTGAATACCTCGAGGGCAAGAGCATCTATCAAGGCGACCTGCGTTACAACGCGTCGAACACGGCGACTACTAAGCAAGTATATGCCAACAAAGAGGTCATTGTCAGTGGAGGAACGTTTAACACGCCTCAGCTCCTTTTGTTGAGCGGCATTGGTCCAGCTGCCGATTTAGAAGCACTTAATATTACAGTCGTAGCGGATCTTCCTGGAGTCGGGCGTAACATGCAAGACCACAACGAGATTGCCACTATTGGGCTCGCTGCTCAAAACATCAGCGTCGATGGTGCTTCAGGGTTCCCTCGATCACAATGCACCCCCCATGCCCCTAACGACCCGTGCTACAGTCTTTGGCAACAAGGACAAGGTCCATACGCGGAGGGCAGCATCATGGGAAGCATGTTCTTCCTGAAAACAAATCACTCAAGCACTGACGAGCGCGATATCGGCATGTGGTCTGGACCTGTGGGTGTTCGCGGTTTCTGGCCTGGAACGCCGAACCAATCGTTCGTGGATCCCCCTAACACGTTTGGATTCCACACCGTTCATATGCACGGCAGCAACCGCGCCGGTTATGTGAAGCTCCGGTCAGCCGACCCAACAGCTCAACCGGAAATCAATTTCCGTCACTTCGCCGACGAGGGCGCAGACCAGGATATCGCTGCTATCAAGGAAGCCGTGGCCTTTTTCCGACGAGTCCACGCTGGGGTGGCAGCACCTGTCGGCCCTAATGAAGTGATTTGGCCTACCTGCTCGGGCAGTGTCAACGCCGAAGGTGGCTGCTCAGATGAAGGCAATGATGAGCAATTCATTCGAGACAACAACTATGGTCATCATGCCACAAGTACTAGCTCTATCGGATCAGACGACGATCCGAACGCTGTCCTCGACTCTAAGTTCCGTGTTCGTGGCGTGGAGGGTCTCCGTGTTGTCGACGCAAGTGCGTTCCCCCGAGCTCCAGGTGCATTCCCGGTTCTTGCTGTCTTCATGCTTAGCGAGAAAGCAGCTCTTGATATTCTCTCTACGCAGTAGAAACACCAAGGGTGCTGATCAAGAATATAGTGTTGTAGTGAAGTATTTTGAAGTTTCTCATTGGAACGGGTGCTCTATGCAATTGTTCGTGTTTATAACTAGTAAAAACATATGTGTGTTGTGCTCTTTTTTGTGGTGGTATCCGTTATCTAAACGTCGTTCAGACGAGTTCTCTGCCTTTTCTACTCCCTCGCGCTTACGTACCGTGTCTGTGCGCGCGATGCGCATGTTCGAGTGTCGCACGTTTGGGTGCGGGTATTGTGGACAGAATAACTTAGAAGAGAGTGTATGTGTTGTATTGTTTGCAGCATTCTAGCTCAGCTTCTACAGAGGGCATCGCACGGCGTTATTAGTAACAAGGTTCATGTTCCCGACAGCGCTTGGCCTGCGACATCGAGTTTTGCGCACCACATTAACAATAAAATATCAGAAATGTGAAGCTGTACAGCCCACAACAATAGCTGTTATCGTGTGATCCCTTAGAGGCTTGTAAAAACTTGCGTGTACCCTTTTGGGACAGTTGTATAGCTTTTTCAACGTCGCAACTGCTTTCTGGTGCTCCTTTTCAGCCACCTTTGCGGCTCGCTCCTTCTCCCTCACCGCCTCAAGTATCTCCCTTCCAACACCCTTTTCTTGCTCTTGTTGAAGCTTGTACAATCGAGCTTGCTCCTTCAGCTGTTTACGCTCGGTTTTCTGGAATTGTAACTCCTGTGTCGTTGTCGTCGTATCGTCTCATCGTCCTTGGCTTGTTTTACTTTCTTGGGCGACCAGAAAGTAGCTCCGCCGTGATTCTTCTCAGTACTGTTAAGTTCAAGTGTGTAGCTCTTCTTTTTGCGTCTCTTTTTAACCAAAAGAGCGTCCCTTAGGCCTTGAATTCCATCCCTGAGTATACTGTTTTGGGCTGAGATGTGATGCAAACCTCAACGAAGCTTTTTCACTTCCTTACTGCTCTCATCTTTAGCTATGCGACGTGTGAGAACCCCAATCTTGCGCCAATCGTCTCCACTAAGTACAGAAGTTGAGCTTTCGTCGGATCTAGACGCCTCTTTGTGGGATTTTCTAAGTATAACCTCAGCGTTGGGTGGATGAATCCCAGTTACTTCAAAGGACTTTCTGATAGCCTCTTTCTTGAAAGCAGTACCCCGGGCTCTCCAGAAGAGCAGAAAGAAGTCTCCTCTCTTTACTGGTTGGATCACGTGGCTGCGGTGAAGGTAGTTTGAGAGCTCAGTTGAGTAAGCCGATGAGAGAGGTTTAAACATCCCAACATCAAGCAACTGAAGCGTATGGGTTGAATGAGGAGGAAACACAGCCAATAGGGTCTTGTGTTCGTTGCAATACTCGATAAAATCCATGGTTAGGTGGGATGAATGGCCATCAAGGAGTAGTAACCGGTACCCAGTTCGAGCGTACCGTCCGGTCTCTCTCTCGAAAACCTTATCGAGCCAAGCAAGAACTATATCGTTGATGGACCAGCCAGAGGGTGATGATCTTATGAATACCGAGTGCTTTTCTGGGTCGATTACTTCCGCCCAGCTCGATTGTAGAGCTCCAGCAGCTGACTGAAAGAGGAGAGATGGAGAAAGAGCTGTACTATCCGAGCAAATACAGGCTAGGACTGCAACCCACTGTCTAGAACCATCCTATACAGCTGTAGTAACCCCTTTTTGACCGTGTATCTTCCTGTCAAAGACTCTCTTTGATCTCCCAAGTACTCCAATCGCGAAGCCCTTTTCATCCAGATTGAAGACGTGAGACGGCTGTAGGTTGTACTCCTTCATCTTATCATGTAACAGATCAAAGTATAAGCTATTCTTGGCTTCCGGATTAGCTTTGTGGCGATCCCGGTCCATCCCTGTCTGCCAGCGAGAGATAAGATGGAAGGAGTTTCTGTTGATGAAGCGAGTAACCCAGCTTTCTGAAACGTCTCCACCAGCTAAAGACGACGCAAAGTTGCGTATCAATGCTCGTGTAGGTGGCGTACGTCTCTTAGTGAGCGTGTTAATGTACTGTATAAGCTCCGTCTCATGTTGTGGGTGGATGCAAAGCTGGGCGACCGCGCGTGGCTGGGTTTGGCCATGGTGTCTTAGAGCGAGTGTATGGCGGTCAACACCATACTGTTTTGCGACTTGCGTGTACGTTAAAGATTCGCCTAGTGCGCGCAATTCGGTTGCTGCAATTGCATCTAATATTGGGTGCGTTCTGGTATAGTTATGACGCGTTTTGTATAAGTGGTGACGGTTTTGGGGCGGGCATTGCGCGAACACGGGCATTGCGCGCACGGACACGGTACTGATCCAACACGTTAGTTGAAATAGCTTGTAATCACCGAAATTCGTCCGTTAACGTACACCCTTTCCTTATCACTTGCTTGTGCCAAGGTGTGTCAAACAAGCTTAGCAGTGTTATACCCGCTCTAGCCTGTACAACAATATTTGTCTGCAACAGAACCTATAAAAAAAAAGCGTCGAACGTTATACGAGCGCGTGTAAAAGTTCCTGTAGTACACAAGTTAAATAACACGAGTGGAGACAGGCTGGAAAGTCAAAGTCTACTAAGGTTGGCGCAGGAGGAATTTCTGACCGTATAAAATTTGCACGCGTAAAACATGGTGGCATTATTAAACTTATGGCCATTCCTAACTCGTTCGCTGTTATAAGTACGGCCGAGTCTAATAAGCTATTTTGGGACAACAGCAAGGTCTCTATTTTAGTGGCCTCGTTTGATTATCAAGCATGGTCCAAGTACACACTTACAACGGTCTGAGATGTTCATTTGTTATATCCCAAGCTCTTAGCATAGCAACCAAGTTGTGGAGCTTTATGAGTCAGTCCTACCCCATATCTAAGGTGTTTCACTCGAAACTGTAGTGACTTTCCTCTATTATTGAATCTCATTATGTCTTCCCCTGCCATAGCTGGCAGTTGTGCTTCGGCTACGATCTCTACTCCTTCCATCTTTGGAGCTCGAATCCTTTCCATTGAAGCCACTATTGTCCAGAACTACGCCTATGCCTCCTCTATTTACAACGTTGTTGCGAACCATGGACATTATCCCGACACTACTATCGATTTCTGCAATGTCACCGTCACCCATACGCATCCTGGCACAGACGATACCTTACATACTGAGGTATGGCTTCCGTTAAGACCCTCCTGGAACGGACGATTGCAAATGGCCGGTGGTGGTGGCTGGGTGGCTGGACTTGACGAGCTTGCACGTGGGACGATGTTTACGGCACTGAGTGAAGGATACGTAACATCAAGGGTTGATGCCGGTATACCTACAACGGATTTCACCACTGCGAAGGACTGGGCATTGACAAGCCCCGGGAACGTCAACTACAATCGGCTCCAGAATTTTGCGATGATAGGTCTGCATGATGGCGCTCTGATCACTAAGAGTGTGATCAAAAGCTTCTACGGTCGGCCTGCGGATTACTCATACTGGAGTGGTTGCTCTCAAGGCGGTCGACAGGGTCATATGTTCGCCCAGCGCTATCCAGATGTATTTGATGGCATCGCCGTTTCAGCTCCAGCAATTAATTGGGCTCCGTTCTTTGTGGGTCAAACATTCCCTCAACAGGTGTTATACGAGCTTGGGGAGTTTCCCCACACTTGCGAGTACGATACGCTCACTGCAGCCGTCATCAAAGCTTATGACGGCAACGACGGCCTCCTGGATGGTCTTATCTCGCACCCAGACTCCTGCTCCTTTGATCCTTATGAGCTAGTCGGCACTCCGGTTAACTGCAACGTACCTGGTGCACCTGCGGTGATTTCAAAGGCCGCCGCAGCTGCTATGGATGCAGCTTGGCATGGTACCCGCGCTGCAGATGGCTCTCTTCTTTGGTCGTCTTCCGGCTACGAAGCAAACACGACGAATGGCGTCCTTCTGTCAGATGAAATGCTAAAAATGAGCTCAGGAGAAGTTGATGATTGCGATGATGGATTATGTCTTGATCATTGTTGTTTTTCGTTGGTCTGTTCTCTCTCCTTTTTGAACATAAACCTGATACATCGGTGATACCTAGGTGATACATAGGTGATACCGTCCACGATGCAGTATCGCTTACTTCATCTGACAAAACTACTCCTAGGCCACTACAAAGCGCGCTCGAGGACGCTATCGCCGCGATAGCTGACGCCGACGATAGCAGCGACGACGAGGATCTCGACGAGTTCCAACGCTGGAAGAAGCTTGAGCCAAAATGGACGCGCGAGCAGTTCACTCAGGGCTGTGATCCTATCCGTTACTGGATTGAACTACAACCAAAGTATCCCAACTTAGCTAGGCTGGCGTTTGATGTTCTAACGATACCTGCTAGCAGCTGCGAGTGCGAGCGATTGTTCAGCGAGCTCGGTGATCTATTAGAGCCAAAGAGACGCAAAATAGGAGCTCAATTACTAGCTACACTGCAGTGCATTCGAGCTTGGACACGTGCTGGATTCGAACGTCCAACTCCAGGGATCGTCGAGAAACTAGAGGCAACGCGTTCTGAGACGCTGCTGGAGGGAGAGTATGATCTGTGCAACTGGGAGGCGCACCCGCAGTAATCTGCATATATGTTAACTATAATAATTACCCAAGTTACCCAAGTTATGGAAGTTTACCAACCAAGTTGTGCTAATACCGCTTCCAAGTCAAGCAAGTTTCGTTACTACCGCAAAATCGTCCCAAGCAAGTCAAGTTGAGCCTCAAAACTTGCTTAACTTGCTTGTTGCGAACTCTGCCTGCAGGATATACCGTTTCAGAAGCTCCCGCCGCTGGTCACTCCGGTTAATCCACACGCAGAAGTTGTGGAGCTTACCGATAAAGTTCTGCTTCCTCCATATCTCAAATCGCTCATCGTCGGATGCGCCACAGAGCTCTTTCTCCAGCTTGCTGACACCCTGCCCAAAGAGGAGAGCTTTGACAATGAGATTCAGGATATGGCCGACGCATCGAAGGCGGCTCTGCTGCGTGACTGTGGGATACTGCTTTGCTAGCTCTTCAATACATGTGTCGTTATTGCTAGCGTTGTCCATTATGAAGAATCCAACGGTAGCAGGTATATCGTACGACTCGATAACCGTCGACAGCACCTTTGCAATGTTCTCGCCAGTGTGAGGGCCCTTTAGAGGCCGGAGGTCGAGAAGAGCTGTTTGCAGCTTATGCTTCTCGTCCAAGAAGTGAGCAACAACTGCCACATAGTTCGTTCCTTCTTCAGACGTCCAGGTATCAGTTGAGAGATGGATCTTACTTTTGGTAAGATGGAGCTTTTCTTTCAGCCAAGTACGCCTCCCACCATAACCCTCCCACATCTCTTTAATCCAGGTTCTAAGAGTTGACGGGCTTTTTGGCAGAACCTTATCTATACCCTCTAGGCAGCTGGAAAAGATGTTACGGGTGCGTTGATGCGTCGCTTGTCGAAAGGTAAAGTTAAGATTAATAGCCTAGTCAATAAACTCTTTCTTAAACTGAGAGTCGTTAAACACTAAGCACCGGCCTCTAAGGTATGGTATGGAGCTCGTTGTTCCCTTAGCCATATCGAACGGATTTGACGCCACTGGTTTGTAGCCGAATGCTTCGAGTTTGTGCAGATGCTTTAGATGATAAATGATACTAGTAGTAGCCCTACTGTTGAATAGCGCGGAATCATGCTGGCCACCAATATGGCAGTACTTGCAGAGCTAGAACTTGTTATCTCCATCTGTTGTAAGCTGCGCGCCATGTTTGTAGATTGCTGAGGATTGGGCTTTAGAGTTGAGGGTACGCTTATAAGGCTGACGATATCGAATTAATGGCAGTGGCTTTCTTTTATAGCGAATTTTGTCCCATTCAATATGAAAAGTGCATTGAGTAGATGTCGGCAGCTCTCTTTCACGGGTGGTTGGTGTAGAGGCCTCATGGGTTGGAGTTGAAACCGAACTTGGGGTTCCTAAGCGGCTCTCTGAGGTAGAGCTAGGGGGCTCGGAGGGGGTTTAGGCAGAGAAGAACGTGTAGACCTTCCACGAGGCTGAAAGAACAGGTGAGAAGACATATAAGCTTAGAATTTGGTAGCCTTGTAAATAAAGTTACAAGGCTACCAAATTCTACTGGAGGTGTCAGATTTTTCCCGGCACATCTGGCTCCCTGTGCGACTCCAGCCAATCACGATTTTGCCGGGTGCCACCCGGTGAAATCTTAATTGGTTCGCTTAGCTAGCGTCACCTAACTCATCTTCGACATGCCTAGTAGAGCAATTCTGTCAAGCAACTTGAAGTTACTTCAAGTAATGTGAAAATCCTTACTTGTGCTTGCTTGAATGAGCCTTTACTTTACTTGCTTGTTACGTAATCAAGTAATGTCAAGCAAGCAAGTCAAGTAACTTGGTTGTTGGACACATTGCCTGGCACAAGGCTAACGATTATTACAATAAGCTAGACGACTCACCGACCTATTACGCCGCTACATGCCTTCACCCTTACTACAAATACTACTGCGAAAACAGTTGGCGTGATAAGCCGGAGTGGCTACGCGTTGCTAATGACGGCTTTCAACGCCTTTGGCAAGGCTATAAGCAGCCGCAGCCGCAGCCCCTATCGCCTCAGTTGTTTACAACAAGAACAAGTAATATAGATGACGTGATTGGAGCTTTCACGCGTCGCAGCGTTACAGGAACTCCACAAGGCGATGAGTACGATCGTTGGCTGAACCAAGAGCCGGCGTGGCAGGCTGTCGACGATGGCAACGCTGTCCAGTACTGGATTGCTATGCGCTCAAAATACCCGTGTTTAAGCCAATTTGCAATCGATATACTGACTATCCCAGCATCAAGCTGTGAGTGCGAGCGGCTCTTCAGCGAGCTTGGTGATCTACTCGAGCCAAAACGACGCGCGATCGGCAGTGAGTTGCTTGCGGCTCTACAACTTATACGGGCATGGACTCGGGCTGGCTACACTACTATAAAAGCAATTGAAACGCACAGCAGCGAAGGCTTTACAGACGACTCACTCGCGCGAGAGTACGATATATACAACTGGGCAGAGTCGCCAGAGATCATGACTCTGGAGGAGTAGCTACACTACCAAAATTCGAAAAGTCTGACAATCAAGTCAAGCCAAGACAATCTTAACTGCCTCAGGACACCTCAATCCGCAATCAAGACAATCCGTAGTGCTGCTCTCGCCCAATCAAGTCAAGAAATCGGTCTCAGATTGTCTTGACTTGATTGTTGCGGAGTGTGGTTCTTTGGAGGCATTGTAACAAGTTGCCGTACGAGGAGTTGTTGCAACAAGACAAAAGACTAAGAAAGGGCAGAGGTGTGGCTCTTATATACCTTAGGAGGAGCCCTAGATTCTACTTTCACTACACGAGCGGAATTAGCGAGGCCGACAATCGTACGGTAAAGGAGGAATTCACCGCTGATAACCCCACAACTGAGCAAACAAAACGCGAGGCTAGGAATAGGCAGCCACCCGATTACCGGTCTCGTACGATAGAAACTAGATTCACTTAGAACTTAACTAGCCGTACGATCTAGGAAGAGGGAGAGGGGAGGTATTGTAAGGGGCTACGCCTAAGTACCACAAGAGGCTACGCCGAAGAACTTCCCGCTTATCTATCTTTGTATTAGCGTACGGAGGATAAATACCGTACGAGGAGGACGCTGTAAGAGTGCGATGGGTTGACCATAAGTGCAAGGTATAACAGTAATGAATTCGATAGAGAAGCTACACTACGCTTGCGCTGAGTCTATGTATCACGTAGTGCTAGGTTCGAGAAACTTCTAAGGGTCCGTGGAGCGCCGATGAAGCCCCGACAACGCTCCGAGGGTTGCAGCCTATCCCAACCAGCTATAACGAAGGCCACAGGCCAAGTACTACTAATCAAGGCTTCAGCCTCTTACAGAGGGAAAGAAGTCAGTGGATATGTTCTATGCAACCTGTACAGTTGCAACTTACTTCGATGATGAAGATCCATCTTTAAGCTCCGTACCCAGCTGTTCCATCCATTTTCGCAATGAGCGATGAGAGGAACCCGTTGATCGCACCTGCAACGATGCCAGCCGTGCAGAAAAATACGTAGCGAGTCAGATATTCACGCTTCGAGTAGTATGCGCCGATCAAGTATGCCGCTCCGCTGATGTATGCAGATTCGGCGATACCCTCTAGCAAGCGACAGACTACAAGCTCCTCCCATCGTTTGACCAGTCCGCACCCGATGACCGTAATGCCCCAGCAGAACATCATCACACAGAGACTCTTCGGTCCGTACTTCTTAAAGGCGATCTGCAACGGCACGCCAGCGACTAGATACCCTAGGTTAAAGACCCACACGGCGATGTTGAAACGTTGGCCAATTAGGTTCAGCTCTTTCTCCATGCCTTGAATCTTTGCGTTGCCGATGTTGGCTCTTATAACGTGGGTGAGCATGGATCGTGAGACATTGGGGAGGCTGCATCAGACTTACCGGTCGATGAAGTTGACAAGATATAAGATCCAGAGCACTGGCAAGATCCGCAGATCTAAATTTCTGATAAGTCGCCGTTCGGCAGCGCGATCGAAACCATGCTCCGTGGTTGAGCCCGTTGGAGATACCGGCACATCTTGGACGTACGCGCCTTTTTCGACGGAGTTGGAGTCCGCCATGCTGAAGATGGAGAGGCGAAGAAGGAGGAAAGAGTATTAGTGTTGCTGCGCAGCAGTACAACGTCAAGTAACAGCACCAGGCTGGCTGCTATGCAGAGTGAGCAAGGACAAGGGACGATGCAGGATACACGATGGGTCACACACTTACGCCCGGTAACATATACTTCCTCGCGGCATCTGATACCGTCCTTTGAACGCTCTGACTGCCGGAGAAAATCCAAGTCGGGAGAAATAACCTTAGCTGCAATCCTGCTGTGTCTCGAAGCTTTCTGGCATCGCCTGATAATACGGCATATCGTTGAGAAGGATCGTCGGACTTTTTATGATCCTTCAGCATAATCACCTCGCGATTGAATGCCAATTGGCTGTCTAGCGAACCGACGCATCGCACAAAAGAAGTTGCTGACATGGGGCGGGTTGCAGTGGGTGCGAGATTGGATAGAATTGGACCCTGCCGACATGATTCTGCGTCCATTTGTCCTTGGCGACGAGTTTATACGAACTATGGATCGTGGACCTATCGTTCTATGAAGAACTTCGGCACGAGGCTTGTCTTGATGCTAGTGCTATGTAGGTGAATGAGCTAGCGTGTTCGGAATGAAAGCTCGATCCTCCCTGGGCAGGGGCGCCATCTTCCCCGCCGCAGCGGCCCGCAAAATCAGACGTCCCACAACGCTCCAGACCTCGCTTCGGTCTTATTTAGAATGGCAACACGCCCGGCGCAGAGATATTGTCGCGATAGCAACACCGAGAGAGCGCCGCGTATGATGCGTCAGTGTGTTGAAGTTTGAGGATGTAGGGGACCGGGAGTTCACCAGGTGCTGGTAGGTACCTAGGTAAGCATGGCGCAACTGATGGGCAGACTGGACGACCACAACAGCATCGTCGCATCGCCATGGCCGATCTACGCAGATCGCTTTGCATTTAGCCACGATACGATATCTTTCCAGCACGGCAACAGGTAGACTGGAGGTAAGAGTGGCCAAGCCGTTACCAAACCGCCCTATCGCTCTGGCGAATTACCATAATCTTTCGAGTCGACGAATGGGATACGCCGATGTTCACCCATATACATGCGCAAGCGCGGTGCATACACTGTTCATCGCAAACCGCGGCTACGGCTTCTCGGGTGATCTTAGGCACAATCTCTGTTGCAGCTATCGCTTCATGAGAGGATCACCTGACTTGTGGCTGGCATACACACTCGTCGGGCTGCTGGTGTTCAGCTGCTTCGTAACCGGGCTTGGTAACACCCGCAAATGCCACCGAGAAGGATTCATAAGATTTACCATGAGACAAATGCAATACCAGGACGAGAGCGAGCGGATGACTGATCCGCACGGAATCGGCTTCTGAGGCTTGTCGCGTTCAGCCTCAATGAAAGACTGAGTGGAATTCAGTATAAGTATGCTCGTGAATTCGTAGCTTCGCGATCGAATCTCCCTTGACCAGGTTGCTGGTTTCGCCGACGCAGGTGCCATGATCTTTTCCGCCTACGAAGGGCAACAAAAAGACTTGCAGTGGGTGACTGTGACGCTGACGGTCATCTCAACAGTACTGTTGATCTGGCGCATCACGAACACAATCACAAGTAGAGGTTGGCTAGGGTTGGAAGATGTTTTCGTAATCATGGCGAATGTAAGTACGACACCGCCGAGAAACTGCAAGTGCTTATATCTTACCATTGTAGATTTGGCTCGTTCTACTGGCGGCGTTTATTTACCGGTCGACAACCTATGGATTCGGCACGCGCTTAGTTGATATCGCAAGGGATGGCGGGAATGCTACGGAAGCACTCAAGGTTAGGGGAATGATCGATCTTAACATCAGCTTGACATGCTAACGCCATCGTGCTAGTCGTTCTGGCTCACGCAGTCCTTCTACACGCTCACCAACGGCTTTAACAAAATGGCTTTCCTGGCTTTGTATTATCGTGTATTTGCTCTGAAGCGCTTTCGACAGGCATGCATTGTACTAGGGGTCATATCAGTTGGCTGGATTGTCTCATATGTCGTAGTCTGCATCTTCTAATGCACGCCGGTACCTCGCGTCTATAACCGAACGATACCTGGAACATGCATCAACCTCTTCTGGCACCGGTATGTTGCCCTTCAGTGTATGCGAAACTATCACTGATATTCCCTCAAGTTGGTCGAATGCTATCTTGAATCTCCTTACCGACCTCGCGATTTTCATACTTCTAATGCCCGTCATCTTCGGGTTGAACATGTCCAAAGGCTCGCGAATTGGTCTTATGGTTCTTTTTCAATAGGCTTCTTCATCTGCCTAACAACCGCTCTCCGCATGTCCACGTTGCCCCTCTCCCTTCGTACCCGGGAGCCGACATGGCAATCTGCACCCACGAATCTTTGGAGTTTCATCGAGGCCGCAACTGGAGTGATAACCGCTTGCTTATTAAGTCTACGTAAGAGCATCGGCGGGTTGTGGCCAAAGAGATGGCGAAGCAACAAAGGAACGAGTGGAGCGTACTAGCACTACAGCGGATCCAATGGTATCGGGCTGGGGATATCGCGACCCCGCACCGGGAACGCACATCAGGATGCGTTCGCTATGGGAGCAATGCGTAGCGGTGCAAGGGGCAAGGTTGAGACTCCCGGCGACATTAGTCCGACTGAGAGTCAAGAGCGCATCATCGAAGACTCTAAGCCGGGAGTGCATGTCACATCGCAACCGCGACGCAGCAACAGCACTAAAAGCGAACATCTTGTATTGCAGGGTATTACTGTAACTCATGATGTAGAGGTTAGGAGAAATTAACACCGAGCCCAGACTTTTATGTTCGAAAGCTACCTGTATTGAAAGTTCGACGTGACACTTCTATGCGATTGCTTTTCTGAACTACTGTACTTCTTAGCATAGTTGTGAGGTTTGAACCACTCTTCTGGTTTCTTCCAATACGTTCAAACTTGACTATAAACCTTTACACATTCCCCGCACTTGTTCTAGGAACCTTCTGGCGCTGTGGTAGTTTTCGATACGTATAGCGCTGCGCAGCTAGGATATTAGTTCTGGGTGTGAAATCACCGAGCGCATCATTCTTCGCATGGTTACAACCAACGGCGGGGCTTTGGTACAGATTCTGTCATGCAGCCGGACATGTTCGACAAGCGCTAGGTTTTGGTATCGGAGCCGCGTGTCTGTGAGGTAAGCGTTCGCCCTACCAAGCGTGGGGCGCCTTGCATCTGTCAGTGCATGCTAAAACAGCCGAAAGGCCGCAAGAACAGCTGCAGGGTACTTGACGAACAGCAAGTCGCATTACAAGTCTTCCGGTTACCACTGCTTGCAAACCTCGTACACTGAGCTGTTACTACATTTGGAAACGCGAACCCTCACCAATTTTATCATCATGGCTGAACGAAGCTCTCTAAGCATCGCGATAGTGGGCGGTGGTATTGCGGGCCTGACGCTGACCGTTGCGCTTCTTACAAAATGCCCGCACATGAAGGTCACACTGTATGAGTCTGCTGCGGCTTTCGGCGAGATCGGCGCTGGTGTTGGGTTCTCGCCCGTCATGGTCCGCACCATGGGTATGATCGATCGACGAATCGAGGCCGCCTTCATCAAGTGCAACAAAGGAAACGTCAACCCAGATCCACCGTTATGGTTCACAGCGAGAGTGGGAGACAAGAGGAAGAAGGGCGTTGAGCTAGGGGAAGAATCGTTCACTATTCCAGCAAGAGAGGGACCGAATGGCGGAGTCCACCGTGCGCAATTCCTCGATGAGCTTGTCAAACTGGTTCCAGAAGGTGTTGCGCAGTTTAAAAAAAGGTTGCGTGATATCACAGAAGCAACTGATGAATCTGGAGATGCGATTCTACATTTCGCCGACGGGTCTACTGCACAGCATAGTGCAGTACTGGGTTGCGACGGTATCAAATCGCGTGTACGGCAAATTGTGCTAGGCGATGTGCCGGAAGCGCAAGCAGTCTTCTCGGGGAAATACGCGTATCGTGGAATCTTTCCCATGACGAAGGCAATTGAGATCTTGGGCGAAGAGATACCGAAAATGCCGCAAATGTGGCTTGGCTACAATGCCCACATACTCACGTTTCCCATTGCAAATAAAACGTTGTTCAATAGTAAGTCGACTCGGAAGTTACTATTGAGCTGGCTGACGCGCTTACAGTTGTCGCGTTTGGGTCGCGACCGACTTGGGAGGATAAGAACTGGGTGGTGCAGACGTCTCGCGACGAGATGATGGAAGACTTCAAACACTTCATACCTGCCGCTCAAAAGATCATAGAGAATATGCAAAAGCCAGATATCTGGGCGCTGTTCTACCATCTTCCTGCGGCAACCTACTACACCACCAAGCCTTTGATCTGCCTTGTAGGTGACGCTGCACATGCCTTAACGCCTCAACAGGGGTCTGGAGCTGGCATGTGTATCGAGGATGTTCACGTTCTTAGCGAGCTGTTGTCGGCATGTCATCAGAAAGAACAACTTACAAATGTGTTCCATGCGTACGATGCAGTCCGAAGACCGCGCAGTCAGAGACTAGTGGCGACAAGCAAGGAGGCTGGTAAGCTGTGGGAGTTTGAGGGAGAAGGTATAGGTGATGATTTAGATGCTTTGCGAAGCAATGCGCTATCGAGGATGGATTGGATTTGGGATCATGAGATATCGAAGGACCTTATGACAGCGAAACTTATGATGAAAGAAGGCCTGCCAAACACTCCGTAGTCTTGGAATGTCGCATCCAGATACAATCTACTATGCAGAAATGTTCTGCAGCTCGGTCTTCATATCAACCAGTATTGTTGGGTACCACAGGTAGTACAGGACGGTAACCGTGAACATTGGAACTGAATCGAAGATGTACATGGTCCATTCATGCCTCAGAAGATACCCGTCATTACCCATGGCGTACTCTACGACGCGAAAGACAGATCTGACCATGATGAGAGTGCAGACAATGAACAGCATGCGTAAGTTCTTCCTCCAAGGAGCATCGACGGTGTACGACTCAGGAGTAGGACGTTGGCGTATGCGGTTCCGAAAGATGACCCCTGTGACCGCGAATACTGCGAACATGATCACTTGAACGAGTAGACCAGCGATTACGATGCCTTCTCCGAGCTTTGCATGCGAGCCGGTAACCATCAAGCCAGAGGCGCCTCCCTGAACCAGGATGGAGAGGACGTCACCCGTCACGAATATCTTCGTCAACTTCCGAGGCTCGATCACGGAAAGGTGGTCGGCTTGTATACTGCGAATGATGCGACTCAGACACATGTAGATTGATGCAGCGAAGAAAGCGGGGCCAAGCAGAATGAAGACATTCTGTACAGCGAATGGCATGATTCTACCGGTCTTGCTGTGAGCGGACGCTCTTGCGCAGTAACCGGCGAACTCCACTACAATGAAAGTGTTAGCTCTATCACAAGGACCAAAGGGACGAAGCTTACGGAAGCCTCCAACCACAAACGGGGTACAAAACCAGGTCTTGGTATGGAACATTCGCCAGCAGATCAAGCCGGTGGTAGCCATGAAAAGTAGGATAAATATAACAGCGGCGGCCATCGAGGGGAGGTAGTTCCAAAGGTAGTAGTCTCCCTTGGTGGGCTCTACTCCGTCGACCATTCTGGCTGATTGGGTGAAGGCGTCGGTGGGTATAATCCGTACGAAATCCTTCTGCGGGTCAAGCTCGAAGCAACTGAAGATGGTGAGGCGATGGGAATCGATGGTAGATGGTACCTTGATCGAAACATCATGAGGACTCAAGAGCTTTGTACCTCTCGAGTTCCAGTGTTGCCAAAAAGCAAGTTGACTTGCTTGCTTGTTCAAACTTGCTTGGTTCATACCAAGCAAGCAAGTCAAGTCAGAGCTGCACAGCGAACCAAGCAAGTCAAGTTAGCGTGCCTTACTTGCTTGACTTGCTTGGTTTACTTGGTTAAATTAACTATAATCGACTGTATAGCAGATCTCGCGATGCTTTTTTAGCCTTGCAGTTCTTTTAGTGCTGCAACTACCTCGGCTATTTCTAAACAGGCTACAATAGGCTACACAGCTGCTAAAACAGCTTAGCGCCCTACTCCTATCCTAACCTCAGCCTTGTTTTAAAGCCTATCGCGATTTCCATTTTCCTGTATCAACGCTTCTTTCTGGTGTTTTCGACTGCCCTAATATAGCCAAACGCCGTGTACTACATACCTCTTCGAGTAGCAAACGTTTGAGAGTAGCTGCTGCTACCGACGACGTCATCTCAACTCCTGCGGCCTCATCTCAGCCAGCATCTCAGCCAGCATCTCAGCGTCAATCGCCTCGTAAAGCCCTCGCTGCCGTAAGCCAGGCCACTGTCTCGTCGCTAGTCCCTACATTCGAGTCGCAGTTTTTAGAATCGCATGTGGAGGATAATATCGTTGCGCCTACCGAGGGTAGCAGGGCTGTTACGGTGGCTACAACTAAGGCTGGAGACAAAGATAATAGCCAAGATAAGATAAACAGCGCTGCTAATAGCTTTGACGGCATTAACTAGGCTCGTTTACCTAGCTACATAAAGCCACTAGCGGGCTCTAAGCGTCCTAAAAGCTAGATTTTTCAGTATAGCTACCGCGTTGTTAAGCGCCAGGCTACTAATCGGATCTGGTTTGTGTGCAAGTACTGCCACATCCACAAAACTATCGACGCTAGCGGTAGTGGTTTGTTTAATATTACTCAGGCCACTACCTCAGCAGCTACCCATCTCAGCCAGCCAAAACGTAGGCACAACCTCACAAAAGATAGCCTAAAGTCGACGCTAAGAGGACAGGGGCAGCTATCATTGCGGCAAGCTTTTGACGCTAGATTAGAGATGCCTCAGCCTACCGCTAACGCACTCGGAAACTTCGACGTACAAGGCTTTCGAGTAGCTACTGTTATGTGGCTCGTCAACCAAAACCAGCCTCTTAGTGAGCTTACAGCGCCTAATTTTAGAGAGATAATAAGGTTTGCCAACCCAGAGGCAGAGGCGGCATTGTAGGTAAGTCATACAAGTGTTTCTACATTTGTAATGAGGTTGTTTAGGTCTA